CTTCTCCTATCCTAGTATTATGAAGTTGATTGACTAAGAGTAAGGTCAGCTAAATTAAGGAAGGTTTTGTTCTTTTTCTGTCTGAATTGTAATTTTCTTATGACATTCTACTTCAGGTGTCGTCAACTGGAATATCTTCACAGAGGGACACAAACAGGAATTTAGGAAGGCCTACCAAATTTCCAGATGCTTTCAGTGTGACAACCTGTATAAGGACGTTGGCACAGGCTACCGGGGAAGTGGACGGCGAGGAACATTACAGGGTTTTTACTGAGAAGAGGGCTTCCCGGGGTACTGCAGCTGGAGCTGTTGTCTGGTGGTTGAGGGAACAGCAGACCCCGCCTCACCCCAGTGAACAATCCACAGTGTGGAAATTGTGCCCAATAAATACAAATGTATTCTGCACTGAAATGCCTCTCGTCAAATTGCATGTTTATCTTTTGCAGCCTGGTGCATAAACACACTAACAGTTGTTTTTGAGTAATCTAGCACCTCTTCAAAGACACATTTGATTTGATTTATTTCGAACGTGTAATACAATAAAAAATATATATATAATAATGAAATGAAACAAGAGAATTATGATACTGTAGAAACATAAGCAGTATCAAATTGATTCAAAGGAGTTTACACTTATTTAACCCCACCCCTTCTCCCAAAAACTAAATGAACAGTTTTGTTTTGTTTTAACAAAATATACTATATATATATCTAAATGTATGTCTACATACAATATACATTTACAATTATAAATAGATTATATCATTATTACTACAATATATATATATATATATATATATATATATATTTATGTTGTAGACAAATATAAAAGACTATCTTTTTACATCTGACATACAAAATACATTTGTTATTAAAAATCAAAAACATATTAACAACAACTTGTTAATAATAATAATTTAATTTCAGTAAGAAAAACATATTTTCATGCATTTTTAGATGGTTAATAACAAGCATTACAATGTCTAAAGAGACTCGCTGTTACGATATCCGATAGGACCCAAACGCAGGACACGGCAGAGTGTTGGAAAAAGGTTTATTGTGAGGTGGAGGAGCGTGGAGAGTAATCCTGTAGGAATGAAGACTGGTGAGTGTGGAGAGTAATCCGGTTGGAATGATGACTGGTGGCGGCAGGTGATGGTAACAAGGCGGCTGGATAGTGATCCTGGAGCATAAGAGAAACAGATGAGAAAAGTATTCCGTGTACAGAGAAATAGTTTTAAATCGGCTAAGAAGGCTGAGAGTTACCACTGGGGTTTAAACAACGATCTGGCGCTGACATGTTGTGGAGCCTCTGCTGATATACCATTAGTAAATGGCTGAATGGGAATCAGGTGTGTAAAGCTGATTGCACCAGGTGGAGATTTGCAGCAGGTGGAGATTGAGCCGGGAGCCAGGAGTGACAGCCACCACGCCCACATAGACAGGGAAAGGGAACACACACTCACAAGGGAGGTGGCTGAAGAGTAGAGCCACCACACTCGCTGTGTATGAGACTCAATACTCGCTGGTTGTACTTGTGCGGTCATCCAATCCGCTAGGTGGCGATGTTGCAAAACAACTAGGGTCCTGAGAGTGCAGCCTCCGACGCTGCAGCTTCATACTATAGAGTGGCGAAGTCACGCCCATCTACTTCCGCCCCATGGGACCTTATTTCGGAAAAATTATGCATTGAAGTCAATGGGGAGAGAAAACTTATCTTTCGATCCCGTTTGAATTGTGCCATGAATTACACATATGATGTTTGTCAATCTTAAAAAATCATTTCCATGTCAAAAAAGTCACAGTTTGTCGTAAAACTGTTGAAATATAAGACTATGAAAAATACGCAACTAGAAAGACTACAAATCCCAGAGTCGCGTAAGTGATGTCACAATTGTTTTCCTCCACCATTCAGATACCTAAGATCAGCGCCATATAGATAGAATCTATCTATATGGCGCTGGCTAAGATAAGATAACTTTAACAAGATGCCTGTGTGCTTAGTACCAGGTTGTTATCATATCAGCAATGGGTCTTGCTCGTTCTTTCGCTTCCCGTCTGATGAAAGGACCAGGAGTACTCTGGATCAAGCTAGCTAGTAGCTAGCACGTTAGTTAGCATTACAGCCTTGTCATTTTTATTAGCCTTAACATGAAGTAACATTAAGTAACCCAAAATGTTAAACAGTAAGAGTAGTAGTCATATTTCGTGAACCCTTTGAATAGTACTGTCACCGGTGTGATCATTCTATAATACACCATTTAAGCCCGGGGAGAAATGCTAACGCTAACGTTAGCATCGGCGATCTTCTCTACTTCATGCTATCTGCACAAATGGTTGACATTAAACATTAAAACGACCAGGCAGTTCAGAGAGAATCAAAGGAAGGCAGGCAGGCAGCTTTGCATGACATTCTTCAGGACGTGTTTCATTGTGGTGATTGTGAGGGTAGTCAATCGTTTTGTTGACAAGACAGTAGTGACGGCCATCTTGGTGACGTGTGTTGTTGACCAGAGATGTAGTTCATTGAGCGTTTCACACAAACAAATGTGTTACTTCACAGTTTTACGACACATTTTTATTTTTTTGACTTGCAAAATTATCTTTTAAATTGACAAACATCATATGTGTAATTCGTGGCACAATTCAAACGGGATCGAAAGATAATCTTTCTCTCTCCATTGACTTCAATACATAATTTTTCCGAAATAAGGTCCCATGGAGGTCCACCGGAAGGGGAGGGACTTCGCTACTCTATTGCATCTGTGTGCGGTGGGCAGGTTCTCTCTCTCTCTCTCTCTCCTCTCTCTCTCTCTCTCTCCTCTCTCTCTCTCTCTCTCTCTCTCTCTCTCTCTCTCTGTCTCTCTCTCTCTCTCTCTCTCTCTCTCTCTCTCTCTCTCTCTCTCTTCTCTCTCTCTCTCTCTCTCTCTCTCTCTCTCTGAAGAGACTGAATTGGTTTAAAGAGAGAAAACATTTTGCCTAAAAGTTGACTAAAATGTAATAATTTTTCATCGACTAAAACTATGAAGGATAAAAAGGACTAAAAGTTGACTAAAACTAATAACCATTTTCGTCTAAAGACTAAGGCTAAATCACCAATAGCTGCCAAAATTAACACTTGTGTGTGTGTGTGTGTGTGTATGTCTGTGTGTGCGTGTGTGTGTGTGTGACATTAACAGTTATAGATTACCCACAAAGACAAGCTGTTACACACGACATGCATCCTGATCAGAGCCACGAAGAAACAGCATTTGACACAGCGAGGACATGAAGGAGAGAGGGTGTGTGTGTGTGTGTGTGTGTGTGTGTGTGTGTTGTATTAATAACTGTCCCACATACCTGCTCCGGTGTCTCCTTTAGCTGTGTCCTCGTCACGGGACTCAGAAGGTCACTAAAACTATAAAGTGTGTTTCCATTCAAACCTTTTCTCTGTCACATCAGCTTCACATGTCAATATATATATGATATGTTTAAGTAAAAGTAGAAGTACTCAGAAACTGTACTTGAGTAGAAGTACTCAGATCATGTACTTGAGTAAAAGTAGAAGTACTCAGATCTTGTACTTGAGTAAAAGTAGAAGTACTCAGATCTTGCACTTGAGTAAAAGTACTCAGATATTGTACTTAAGTAAAAGTAGAAGTACTCAGATCTTGCACTTGAGTAAAGTAGAAGTACTCAGGTCTTGTACTTGAGTAAAAGTAGAAGTACTCAGATCTTGTAGTAAAAGTAGAAGTACTCAGATCTTGCACTTGAGTAAAAGTATAAGTACTCAGATCTTGCACTTGAGTAAAAGTATAAGTACTCAGATCTTGTACTTGAGTAAAAGTAGAAGTACTCAGATCTTGTACTTGAGTAAAAGTACCAGAGTGTAGGAATACTCTGTTACAGTAAAAGTACTGCATTCAAAATGTTCCTCAAGTCAAAGTAGAAAAGTATTCTCATCAAAATATAGTGAAAGTAGCGACAGTAAAAGTAGTCATTGTGCAGATTGGTCCATTTCAGAATAATATATATGATATGTTTTATAATGATTGATCATGAAAGTGTTCTCAAAGCTGGTAAAGGAGCAGCTAGTTTGAATGACTTTGTATACTGCAGGGTAGCTGGTGGATTTACTCCAGGTGGAACTAAAGTCTGATTTAACACTTGATTATATTTCACATCATTCATCCACATCTGTGAAGTAACTAAAGGGATTAAATACATGTAGTGGAGGAGAAGTACACCATTTACCTCTGAACTGTAGTGGAGTAGAAGTACAAAGTAGCATAAAAGGGAAATACTCAGTACAACATGTACCTCTGAACTGAAGTGGAGGACAAGTACAACATGTACCTCTGAACTGAAGTGGAGGACAAGTACAACATGTACCTCTGAACTGTAGTGGAGTAGAAGTACACCATGTACCTCTGAACTGTAGTGGAGGACAAGTACAACATGTACCTCTGAACTGTAGAGGAGTAGAAGTACACAGTAGCACAAAAGTAAAGTACCTCAAAATTGTACTTAAGTAAATGTACTTACTTTACACCACTGCTCCAGAGGCATTATGTAAGCATACTCTATTTAAAGGGTTAAAACTCTTTAAAATATATATATTTTGTATTTAAAATCAGGACTGGAGTTGGTAAGAATATTCAACTCAGTGTATTAGTGAAAAATAATATTATTTTCTACTCAATGAAAGTGAAAACAATATATATATTTATTTCTTTACATGTACTGAGTGAAAGTGGAAAATAATACATATTTTATTTTAAAGCACAAGACGTAAAGGTTTGTGTTGAATTAAATGAAAACACAGAATACATTTCACCAGTTTCTTTATTTAAAGAACACCTAGATATTCCATAATTCCTAAAAATGGCAGATTACAATCTTTTACGAAGCATTTTAAATAGAATATACGAAACGTAAATCCCCCAAATTAAATATATATGTATTTCCCGATCAATGCATCGTCTGCCTCGTGTAGATACATGAAATAAAACACCAGAAAGGAAACCAGACATGAGATATGTTTTATTCTACAGCCCAGCACTTCATCACACAGTACACACAGAAAGTACGAGATAAATATAACATATTTATAGTTTTACAGCGTGTTATCTAGGCAGTGATTATTATTTAATCTGATTATCAATAAAATGTCCAGGATTTTCAGTAAATAGTTATTCGTGATAATTGTGGTAATAATTGCCTTTTTTTCATTTTTTTTATTCAACGAGCAGGCGGTTGTGTTTCGTGGCAAACAAGCAGGAGTTAAATATCAGTGAATTTTTATATATTTTCTAAACCTGTGCGGCTGTGTCGGTGTGCGCTGGGCTGTGAAATAAAGCGTTATTAAATCTGGTAATGTCTCAGAGACCAAAAAATATAATTCCTCACAGCATCAAGAGGAAGCCAGAATAATATACATTCAACTTAATTAGAAGTAACATTTCCCTTCTTCTAAAGTTTAATTTAAATCCTGATAAAACTGTCCGAAAACGACCGCTGATAAATAAATTAAATGGAGTTGTTGTTTTTGCATCAGATTAACTAAAAATGAATAGATTTAGATAATTCAATTAAAGGCAGATTTGAGCAGCAGATAAACGTGGAAACACTCTGAGGAGCAACCGTGCTCATAATTCATCTTCAAGGTCCTTTTCTGCTGGTTAAATCTTTGCTAATGGCTTATTTTCGGGGGGGTTTTTGGACACTTTAAAGCAGGCACTTCTTAATATCTTCTGACATTTCACACACGATCGATGACCTATGACCCGCTGATAAATAGAGAGTCCTTCCAGCGGAGGTAGAGACGCAGTTAAAGGGACGCTTCATTTATTCTGTGACTGATGGGGACACGTTTTCAAAAAGAGAGCGCGGCAGCCATTAGCCCCAAAACAACCTTTAAAGAGTCCCTCAGTGTGTCGTGTCTCTCCTGGGACATGTCTCCATGCTGCAGCACCTCCTCTGTCTGAAACCAGAGCTGCTCTGATTGGTTAGCTGGCCGGCTCTGTTGCGATTGGTTAAACCGCTTAAGAAATGTCCCGCCCCTTTAGCCTATCACGTACAATGCGTTTGAGCGCTAGCCAATAGGAGCGCGAGTAGTGGTCATTACAAAGCTAGCTGCAGCGCTCTCTCATTATTGGACATGTTTTTAAAAATAAAATCGTCCCCCCTTTGAGACACAGAAAGATGGTTTAATCCAGATTGAAGAGACCCTTTATCAGAGTATTTTAATGAGGCGGGGGGTTTCAGGAGTTGGATGTAAGTCTTCTAAAGCAGCATCATGCAGGTGGAGGTGGTGGGGGGGGGGGGCTCTGATCACGTCTGGTGCACCTCGTGGAACATCAGCTCTCGGGGGATGCGCGTCTCGGGGCCGTACAGTGTTCCCGCCCGACGCTCGAACGCCGCCACGTTCTGCTTCACCGACTCGTCGAAGAACATGGTGGCCAGCTGAGAGTGGAGCAGGGAGCGGAACTCAAAGGAAATCTGCATCAGAACAGAGGGGGGGGAGGGGGGGAGAGAGGGGGGGGGTGGGGAGAGAGGGGGGGGGGGGGATCATTACAATGTGTTTAGAGTAACTACAAGCAGAGAGAGAGGCGGGACCAGTGATCGTGCTGTTATGTTAAATGTTTGTTTCTCATGCATTGTGTCTTGTGTTGATGTTACACACGGAGCTGCTGTGATGCAAGGAGCATGTCAGACCTGATCTGACCCAGAGTCAGAACTGAACACGGAGAAGTTCAGTTACTATGCTCCAAACATCTGGAACAACTTGCAGGTCCGCTGCAACTCTTACTACTTTTAGATCCAGGCTGAAGACTTTTCTGTTTGCCGCTGCTTTTAATTGATTGACTTTCATTCATGTACCTGTTATTCATGTTCTATTATCTTTGCTTTGAAATGAGCCATTTTATAATATGTTTCTTAATGCTCTGAATGTCTTTCATTTTTTATAAAGCCCCTTTATAAATAAACTTGTCTTGCCTAAAGAGTTATCGTATCGTATCCGGGCAGATCTGTTAGAAATATGCAAACCCACAAACGTAGAGATGAGATCCCTAAATAAAAGTCCTGATGGAAGGAGATGTAGGAAATATATTTAAAACTGCTTTTCATGAACTACTTAAACAATTAGATGTATTCAAAGATTTGTATTTTGTTTATTTCACTTCTTTTTGTATATTTGCAGATTTCCAAATCGTCGTTATTTGCAAATCTTTATTTGAACCCTCGTGTGAACCCTGTTTTTCACTCTGACCCCGTTGCTGCTACAAATGCCTGACTCTCCCCATGGGGATCAATAAAGTTCCATCTTATCTTATCTCAAATGAAATGCAATGATTATTGTTATTGATACCTACTTTACAGAGGTGAGATATTTGGTTCATGTGATGTTAACTGTCGAGTGGGAACTAAGTATTTTTGTTAGTAAGTGTTTGTGTTTCTCTTGTTATCCTACGATGCTGTGATGTGTGGCTGTGAATAAGAACATATGAAGGACAGACCATCTATTTCTATTTCTTTAGAAAGGGGCAGGTCATATCAGATTATTTTCTTCTCCCAGCTGCTTTTCGGTCAACGGTGTGTTCATAGAGACATGTTTTCTAAATATTAGTTCTACATGAAGTTGTGCATACCATGAACGGAACAAATACAAATGAAATGAAATGTGGAGATCGTCCTCTAACGCTCGTTGAGAAAGCACTTAGGGGGGTTCACTCACAGAAAAGTCTACGGTGCAGGTTCGGGGGTATCCGGGGATCCCAGGGCTGAAGCGCCAGATGGTCTCCAGATGATTGAACAGCTTTCCGTCTGTGCACACCGCCTGGAGGACAGAGAGAGGGGGGGGGGGGGGGGGGAGGGGTCAGGGGTCAGAAGTGAGACGCTGATTCAGAGTCTTTGTTTATTCAGGGGGGAATTAGGGTTTTGTGAAAGCTGCTGTATTTTAGAATGAAATAAAATAAACATGTGTTAAAAAGTAAGGCAAGAATGTGCAATATTTTTTTCCTACAAAATATTCAAGAAAAAGACACATTTAGTAAAATATTAAAAAAAAGAACAAAAGAAGTTAAAAACGTCAATAAAATAGTCAAATTAAATACTTTAAAATTAAATAAAGATTTTTTTGAGACATAAAAGTAAATGTTCAATAAAAGACAAAAATAAATAGAATTTCTTTTTAAAATCCTAAGAAGTTAAAGTAAGAATGTGCAATACAAATATTCTAAAACAAATGAGGGATGCAGCGATACATCGACGCTGGCTGTCTTTGACGAAGCATGCGTTAGGACTTCTTACAAATATGCAGTTATTTTGGCCGGTTTGGATCAAACTGTTTCTATACAATTAAAGCAAACGGTAACATGGTTCATACTAGGGATTAGGGCTGCGCGATATATCGTGTTGTGGCGATAATCGCGTTATGCGCAGGACGTGCGATATTGACATCGACGTGCGATTTTTTAGTTTTAGTTGTTCGGTCTATAAAAAGGTCAGAAAATAGTGCCGTCACAATTTCCCTAAAGTTGAAGGTGATGTCTTTAAAATGACTTGCTCTGTCAAAGATATTCTCTTTAATGTGATATAAAACCGAGGAAAGCCGGATCTCCATATCTGAGAGGCCGCTAACAGCATTTGAAGAATATGAGAAGAGATCATTTTTCTGTCAATTGTTTAGCCGACTTATTGAATCAGATCTACAAAAATGTCCCAAAAATGTGTCATATGTGAGAAAAATGTTTGAGGACGTGCGATATGAAGTAGGCAAATGAACTCAAACACGTCATGTTACATTTTGCTGCTTGCTACAAAAGGAAAAGTCGCGCGGCTCTCATGTCAGCGGTTCTTGAGTGAGTGACATGCCGGCTCTGCATGCACAGCTAACCACCAATCACAACCCTTCTTGATCAGATCACAGCAGGATAACCGAGATAGCTCAGCTTGTTGCTCTGATGACTTAAGATCCAGAAGTCCGTGACTAAAATCCTTCATCCGGTTAAATATTGTTAAAAAAAAATACCAATTATATAGCATTAAAATTCAAGAAAGGACGGTTTGGGACAAAAAAACTGTCTTTTCTTCAATTCCTGTATTTTTTCATATCGCAGAAAATAACGCAATGTCAGTTTTTTCCAATATCGTGCAGCCTTACTAGGGATGCACGATACATCCGTGTACATTCACCTTTTTCCACCATCGGCACATCGGTAAATAAGGTGACATGCTCCGATGGCAGTCGCCGATGTTTACGTTTTGCTCGGTGAGCGGGAGACGTCGCGTTGTAGATCGGTGCATCCCTAGGGTTTATATATTTTATTAAGTTTCTATATATACATGTCTCTCTTCTATATAGACTATTCTTGCACTATTTCTATTGTATTTATTTGTATTTACTTGCACTATTGTATCTGTGTTATTGTGTCGCTCTGTTGGAGGAGGAGCCTGTGACCTCAGAGCTTCATTGTCATAACCACACCGTAGCTCTGCACACGGCACTGAAAGCCTTGAACCTTGAAGCAGCAGCGGTGTTGTTCTGCAGGACTCACCTTGACCAGGTGCGGCCTCACGTTGGTGATCATGGAGGTGTAGCGCTCCACCACGGGGGGGAAGCCCACCTCCAGCTGAGCCTTGGCGTGCCCCGCTCTCTTCATGACGGTCGTGGACTTCTTGCACCACGGGACGAAGTGTTTGTAGTCGTCCACGTTGGCCACCACGTCGTACATCTCCTGCATCGAGAAGCTGAGGAGTGCACAATAGGATTCAAATATATATAACTTTATTTATACAGGTCTTTAGATACACACAAATATAAACAATAACAGAAGTCGATAAACAATGGATGGAATAAAACAAGAATCAAAAATGTTAATATATAAATAAAATAAGAATAATAAGGAATTAAAAAATATAAAAAAATAAGGACAAAACAATAAATAAAATAAGAATAAAATAAATAATATATAAAATAATAAATAAATAATATAATAAAAAAATAAGAATAATAACAAAATAAAAATAAGAATAAAATAAATAAAACAATAATAAAATAAATAAATAAAATAAGAATCATATGGAATTAAAATATATAAAAAAATAAGGACAAAACAATAAATAAAATAAGAATAAAATAAATAAATAATATATAAAATAATAAATAAATAATATAATAAAAAAATAAGAATAATAACTAAATAAAAATAAGAATAAAATATATAAAACAATAATAAAATAAGAATAACAAAATAATAAAACAAATAAATAATACAATAATTAAAAAAATAAATAATTAAAAATAAGAATTAAAAAAAGGACTAACATAGTAATCAATACCCCTCAATTTAAATGAGTAATAACGTCGTTGTGGATGAATTACCCGAGTATCCTGCGCTCTGAGTACTCCTTCCTCTTGTTGGTGAAGCTGAGGAAGTTTCTACTCGGAGGAACCGTCGTCATCGTGTCCTGAAAGCAAAGCATTCTGGGAGTTCTGGTCATCAGAATGCCGCATGACGACAGGTGTCTGAAAGGTGAGAGGAAACGTCCCGTTAGATTCACTCTGGAAAGAGGGAGTCTCTGCGACAACAACAACAACAACACACACAGCTTCCAGAGACTGAAAGCAGAGGACAATCATAGCCGTGTGTGTGTGTGTGTGTGTGTGTGTGTGTGTGTGTGTGTGTGTGTGTGTGTGTGTGTGTGTGTGTGTGTGTGTGTGTGTGTGTGTGTGTGTGTGTGTGTGTGTGTGTGTGTGTGTGTGTTGGAGGTTTCTGAGTTCTCTTATGAACGGTGAAAGCTTTGTCCCCTGACTAAATCACAAGAGCAGGATCCTGTGTTTACTCCACCTTTCCATTTCTACGGTGAATCCACAGGTGCAGGCATGAGGTATTTCTGTGTTGTTTTCTAAAGGCAGCCTATCTCTGGTGCAATCAGCCTTTCAATGATAACGTGATGTGATGATAAGGTCTGTCTCTAATATATGAGACAGTGGACTGGGGAAATAAGACATGTGAAGCCAGTTAGAGCTTTAACGCTGAGGGGTTTGCTCAGTGTGGGGTATGTTCTTTAGGTAAGGTGTCCCATTTCACACGTCTCCAATATGTCTTATGATTGTATTTCTATGGACGTTTTCCTCTGTTTTCCGGCATGTAGACCACAGACTAGTCAACAATAACTCAGCGCAGGCCTCGTTGAGATGTACCACCATATGTATTTGAATCCCTGAACCCTACACCCTCAGAGTTTCCTTTTCATGTCTTTAGACAGTGATATCTTTACGGTAGCTATTTAGCATTTCATTCACATCACTAGATTAGCATGTGAGATCCCAAGATAGCCCTCGGACATCTCACAGTGTTTACATTCAGAATAAAGGTGACCCTTTTCCATGACCGGCTGCAAGTACTGTACTTCAGTAAAGATATTAAGGTACTTGTACTTTCACTTCACTACATTTATTTGACATATTTAGTTACTTTGCAGATCAAAGTACAAAATACATACATTACATAATCCTATATTATTAAAGGTTAAGCTACCCAGCTGTAGATACAGTAATTCAAATAAACCCTAACTTGATATGTATGGTGTTTAAATGGGCCATTCTGCAAAACGAGTACTTTTACTTTTGATACTTTAACTATATTTTGATGATAATACTTTTCTACTTTTACTTGAGGAACATTTTGAATGCAGGACTTTTACTGAAACAGAGTATTCCTACACTCTGGTACTTCTACTTTTACTCAAGTACAAGATCTGGGTACTTCTACTTTTACTCAAGTACATGATCTGAGTACTTCTACTTTTACTCAAGAACAAGACCTGAGTACTTCTACTTTTACTCAAGTACATGATCTGAATACTCCTCTCCCCTCTGATCAGTTTACACCTTATTGATATTTAACTCCTTTAAAGACAGTCTCCTTATTTCTTTAGGCAGAGAATTCTCCACACTAGCTTTTGACCATTTTCTCACATGACTGGTTGAGTGTGTCCAAAGATAGCCCTCACAGATCAGACTTTAGGTGACCCTTGGCCGGCTTCAGTTACCTGATGCTCTGTCTCAGGCCTCCTCTTGGTCCCCCTGCTGAGAGCACTGACCGGGGGGAGCCCACCGAGGCGATCTGCAGGAAGTCACTGAAGGTCCGCACCCCCATGGGGAACCTCCGGGCTCCTGCCGAGGCTGCCATCCAACCAGCCGGGAGAAGGAGCTGCTGGGACCGGGGTTCAGAGGACCGGAGACCGGGTTTCAGAGGACCGGAGACCGGGGTTCAGAGGACCGGAGACCAGGCGAAGGAGCTGCTGAGACCGGGGTTGTGATCACCTGAATCCGGGGTTTGAGAGCCTCTCACACCGGTCCAACTAAACCGGGAGTGCAAACACTCTGCTTCTTCCGGTGTAATAGTTCCCACGTTAGTCACTAATCCCGACCGACCAGAATAACATGTTATTTATTGATTACCGTAACTATGCGTCGCTTCTATAGCCGTTGCGTTGCTAACGTTAGCTCGCCGTTAGCATTGTTTCATAACGAGTCCTTACTAAACGCAACCTTCCGCGGCGCTTTGTCTGTCCCTTTTTTTAAACGGCAACGCTCACATCCCTCCGCGTTTGGAGAAATAGTTCTCTATAAAGTTGAATTAATGGGTGATTTTTTGAGGTTTCGGTTGTTGTTAAACACCGCCCGGCCGAGAACGACCTTCTGATTAAACCAGAGCCGGTGGGACAGACTGTTCTTCTTATTCGTCTTCGTCTTCTTTGGTGTTTATTGGCGGTTGGCAAACCAACGTGTAGGTGCATTATCGCCACCAACTGGACTGGAGTGTGGACAGACTATGCAGACAATAATAAACAAAAGAAAGAAAAGAAAAAATAACTAAACCTCTAGAATAGATTATTTTAAATTGACCAATTTCTCTTAGAAATGTAATAATCTCACAATTTATATTGCCTGATGTTTTCGACAGACTGTTCTTCTGGCAGTTGGTCAAAACAGTCCCCCCTTGTGGACTGGAGAGGAACCGCTTCTTCTTATTTTGTTTTAATGGCGGTTCCCTTGCAGTACCTCCTCCCTCCACACGGGGGTCGTTCCCCTGGAATACCACCTCCTTCCACATTGCAGTACCTCCTCCGTCCACACGGGGGGCGTTCCCCTGCAGTACCTCCACCCTCCACACTGTAGTACCTCCTCCCTCCACGCGGGGCGGTCCCCCTGCAGTACCTCCTCCCTCCACACGGGGGCCATTCCCCTGGAGTACCTCCTCCCTCCACACGGGGCGGTCCCCCTGCAGTACCTCCTCCCTCCACACGGGGGCCATTCCCCTGGAGTACCTCCTCCCTCCACACGGGGCGGTCCCCCTGCAGTACCTCCTCCCTCCACACTGCAGTACCTCCTCTCTCCACACTGCAGTACCTCCTCCCTCCACAGGGGGCGGCCTCTCCGCTCAGCTCCCCGGCCCCGCCACGCCTGTAGGCGGACCTTCAGATCCGTCAGACCACAGACCGGACTATCGACAACAACACTGACACATCGGAGCGCATTTCTGTTCGCAGCCGGCTATGGGTGTAGTCTATCCGCGGACTCAGTAGCTCCGCCGGTAAAACCTGCAGGTTTCCTCCTCATGAAGGAGCTCCGTCCCGGCTGAGTTTGGGAGATGGGAGTCCAAAACATCGCAGACCAGGTACAGGCTATTTCCTGGAGCAGTGTTTGTGGCGCAGGCTATTTGCTGGAACAGCGTCTGCTATAACAGTGTTTGCTGGAAACAGTGTTTGTGCTGTGGCGCAGTCTATTTCCTGGAACAGTGTTTGTGCTGGAACTGTTTTATGGTGCAGGCTACTTGCTGGAACAGTGTTTGCTGGAACAGTGTTTGTGGCGCAGTCTATTTGCTGGAACACTCCTGCTCTTCAACATACAACGTCTAATACACGAACCGAGCAGTTTCATGTTCACCTTATTGGAAGTGCATGCTTATTAAATAGGAATCACACTGTTACCATCCCCCATTAATTAGATTGTTGTCACATGAACTAATATAATCTGCTGCTCTAGTCGAGGCCCAGCTCTGGGGCTCAGCTGCAGCCTGTATAGAAGACAAGGCCGCAGCCAGGGCTCCGTCTATTACCTGGAGAGAAAAACAAGAATCGGCTGCTTAACGCTACATCAAACCTGCTAAATGCATTAATTAACTGAACTATAGCATATTTAACCATTGCATTAAAGAGTTAAATGCTGCAGCTGAAATGTAACCTGCTTAGATTAACTGTATGTTATGAAACGTTATTATCAGGCTTTAAAATACACTTTTAGTTAAAGTACTGATTGTGCAGAATGGCCCATTTCAGATTAACAAATATAACATGTTTGTATTATTATTATTGTTAATGCATTAATGTCAAGGTTGCACAAGGTAAAGATGGGGATTATTTAAATACAATACATGACATTATAGCAAATTACTTGCTATACTGCTGGGTAGCTTAACCTATAATAATGCATAATGATTCATCGGTTGATTTATATTCTGTATTTTAAATCCATACCTGCAAATCGGCAAATAACTACATTTAAAAAATAAATGTATTGGAGTAAAAAGTGAAATATCGTGTGTATTCAAGTATAAAGCACAACGTGAATTGTATGCAACGTAACTTAGCAGGTGTTTCTCATTAACAGTTGTTTTTATTCAGTTCTTAAGCAGAATACATAGAATACCTTTCAAAGTGTACATCCACAACCCAGACCCTAAACCCCACAGCTCGTCATCAGCACACACACACACTGCTTGTCAACATACATAGGCTCCATTATGCACATATTTGGGAAGTATTTAACCTCATGCACCGCTACACGTAGAAGTCATGCATTTCAACCCTAACCTAAATCAAAGTATGTTTACTCTTGCAGTAAAATGATCCCAGTCAGTGTTTATTATCATGTATGTTACTGATGCATTCATGTGTGTTGCATGTCACTGCTGTAGACGTGCTGACTCCTGTATGTATGTAGGGTGGTTTAATCTGCAGCATCACATGTTAGTAGTGTCCTCCTGTGAGAAACGCCTCTCTGTCAGAATACAGCCTGTGTTGAGACTGAACGCTGCTCCATGTGGACTTTGGGGACAGAAGGCAGTCCTGAACCAGAAGATAGTTTCCTGCGTTTAGCTTTAAGGACGTCTAGAAGATTGCATTTATTAAATATTAACGGATGATAAGAGAGGCAGAGATGTAGTGAGCGGATCATTTCATAATCCAACTAACTCCAGATATCATTGAGAGCAATCCTCCTCCTCCTCTGTGTTTATTGTCAGATGTAAAACCAGCTTTAGAGTTAAGTGGATAAAAAGCTAATTGACTTCATTTTATCGCCTTTTATTGACTAATATATATTGATATAAACTCCCCATTAGTGGCGGATGATTGAACAGCCATCAGTGCATCATTGGTCCGGTCTCACACATCCCAAACTTTGTCACATGATCACAGTAAACAGGAAGTAGGTAACCTAAGGGACTCTTGATCTGGAGGGAGTCAAAGTGAAAGTAAATCTCTCTTCCTGTGTTTCAGCCTCCTCTGGTCCAGGCTGTCTTCAATCGTAATGCTGAAGAAGTTCAACTACTATTGCACAAAAAGGAGGATGTCAATGCACTGGTACGTATCACGCACTCTTTCAGGTGCACTGGTACGTATCACGCACTGGTACGTATCACGCGCTGGTACGTATCACGCGCTCGTTCAGATGCACTGGTACGTATCACGCGCTGGTACGTATCACGCGCTGGTACGTATCACGCACTGGTACGTATCACGCACTGGTACGTATCACGCACTGGTTCGTATCACGCGCTCGTTCAGGTGCACTGGTACGTATCACGCACTGGTACGTATCACGCACTCTTTCAGATGCACTGGTACGTATCACGCGCTGGTTCGTATCACGCGCTCGTTCAGATGCACTGGTACGTATCACGCGCTCGTTCAGGTGCACTGGTACGTATCACGCGCTCGTTCAGATGCACTGGTACGTATCACGCGCTCGTTCAGGTGCACTGGTACGTATCACGCGCTCGTTCAGGTGCACTGGTACGTGTCACGCGCTCGTTCAGATGCACTGGTACGTATCACGCGCTCGTTCAGGTGCACTGGTACGTATCACGCGCTCTTTCAGATGCACTGGTACGTATCACTCGCTCGTTCAGGTGCACTGGTTCGTATCACGCACTGGTACGTATCACGCGCTCTTTCAGATGCACTGGTACGTATCACGCGCTCTTTCAGATGCACTGGTACGTATCACGCACTGGTACGTATCATGCGCTCTTTCAGATGCACTGGTACATATCACGCGCTCGTTCAGGTGCACTGGTACGTATCACGCGCTGGTTCAGATGCACTGGTACGTATCACACCGCAGTACTTTTCCCACAAAGGTTCATCAGAACTCTTTAGTTCTGATGAACTAAGTACAGATCGCGTTCACACCGGAATAAGTCCCTGGGGGAGGATTAGGCGATTCCCAGCAGCTTCTACTGAAGCCTTCCGAGTAAATCGCCAGAACGCCGACACCCCCTCAGTCTCTCTGCGTTTGTGCGCTGGGCGAATGCTAATGCTAATAATGCTAATACGAGGATAATAAAATGGCGGCTTCACAAAACCTTTTGGGAGTTTTACGGGGCGTGGTTTGCAATCCGCCCAGCCAATCAGACATAGGAACCTTTTTCTCCCACGAAAGTGCCTGCTCTCTAGCAGGGACTGAAAAGGGGGTAAAAAGGTTCTCATTGACACATTTTTAGTTCCGGCTCTTTTTGGTGTGAACGCGACATTTCGGAACTATATCGGAACTAAAGTGGGAAAAGTACTGCGGTGTGAACGCGCCTTAAAGGGGACCTATCATGGTATATTTAAATGATATATTGTAGCGCCATACCTATCTAAGGTATATTTATACGTTTCTGTTTTCAAAATACCAAACAGATTATGCATTTTAGCCATGCCTCATTTTGCTCAATTTGCACTTTTTTTTAGCTCTGCTCTGCAAGGGCAGATTCTGTGAGAACAGCACCACTTACAGGCCTGGCATATGTACTACAGCGTCTCCAGGGCTTTCGAGCGGCAATGGCCGTGGCTGTCTCCTCCTGATTGGTGGAGTTGGCCCAATAGCCGTAGCGCCACCGTCCTGACGTCAGGACAGTGTTCAAATCTGGATCAGTTTTTATCAGATCCGTTGCAGCCCCTTTTTTAGAGATTTGGGTATGGAGGAAAATAGAGAGGGTTGTGTTTTCTGACACTTGGCGAGTTCCCTGGAACACCGGGGACACATATTCATGTATACAAGACGTACACAAGTGCATTTTGCATGATAGGTCCCCTTTAAGTTGGCGTGACGTTGAAGTCGTGCTGCTGGACTCGCCTGTCGTTCCTTTATAGCATAACGTTAGCATTTTGCTTCTGGCCATTAGATTTATGATTAGAACATTATAAAAGTAGGGTAGACATGTGGAGATTATCCGACTGAACAAAACGTGCATTTATCAAACAGGTTCGTTTCCCACAGTTTTCCAAAGTCCTCTGGAGAGATCCCGTTGCTCTTTGTGGAGGGAACCAGCAGCTTCCTTCAGGGTCGAACTACAAAAACAACTCCTAGATTTTCTACTTTTTCTATCCCGCAGGACCAAGAGCGGCGTACGCCACTGCATGCTGCTGCCTGCGTGGGGGACGTCCATATAATGGACCTCCTCATCGAATCAGGTGAGCGCGCTGAATTCAGAAATGATGCTTTAAATCCTCCGTGTTTAACTGTCTAGTAGTGTCAGCTAGGGCTGTGCGATTATGGCAAAAATCATAATCACGATTTTTTGGGTCAATAATTGATATCACGATTATTAAATACGATAATCCATTTACTTTGAAAACATCCATTTATTGAAAAATAAAATTGGAACAGTATGTTTTTAACAGTTGATTACCCTGAACTTTAAGTATAATTCAACTGAAAAACCAATAAAAAAAAATATTTAAAAAAATAATAATTACATTTCTTTCTTTTTTTAATAAAAATAATAATCGTTTTATTTCGATTACGTTGTTTTCGTAATCGTTGCAGGCCAAAATCGTAATCGAGATTAAAATACGATTAATTGCACAGCCCTAGTGTCAGTCCTAAAGTGTTTATTCAGAATCAGAATATCTTTACTCGTCCCACAGAGGTGACGTTTACATTAGTTACAGCAAGTAAAGAGCCAAAGACAGCTTCGTGTTGATTAGGAAGCACGCATACACATATTAAATAATATTAAAGCAGTAATTATCTACATTAGAAAAGCTGGAAACAGTATTTTCTGACGATATTGCTTCAATTAAATTAAATTAAAGAATTGTCTACAGAATTGACTTCTCTGGTTGCTTATGTAAAAACCTGTGAGTTCTCTGTGAGTAGACGAACATAACGAGTCAAATGTCTCGTAGATGTTCATGTTAGTGACTAATTCTGATTCTTTAAAACAGGACGGATTCACACAGATTAGAGATTAATACAATTAAAGATACAATTACAATGATATACATTAAGTCACTTTTAAAATAAGAAATTAATGAAATGAACATATATACATATTATAATTTTTATTTCAGTTTCGTTGTACAAACATTTTCACACTTTTGTCAAACGTACAAGAAGTCATACATATAAAAGTCGAGAAATATATATATATAAAGAAAAAACATACGGACAAACGAATAAGTAAATATAATTTTAAAAAGTATAATTACATTTAAAAAAATATATAATAATAAAAAAGGTAAAAAAAAGATAGTTAAACAAATAAAATTACTTTAAAAATAATAATAAATTAATACAAAATGTATAAAAGATATCATATATATACATATCATAGCGTCCTATCTGACTTCTGACCCCTTGTTAACGTTGCTCCTCTGTCTCCAGGTGCCACTGTAAATGCTAAAGACCACGTTTGGTTGACCCCGCTGCACAGAGCGGCCGCTTCCAGGAATGAAGTAAGAAATCCTGTCGTTATGTTACTGTCGTGTCAAATGATCATTTAATCATTTCAAACATACAGTCTGATACTCTGTTAACTTGTATGTGTAGTCGTGTATGTGTTCAACAGAGACGTGTGTTAAGGGTTGACATTTCAGGAAGTGTAGAAGGTGGATTTGCAAATGGTTAAGGACTGTCTTCTGTTTTAATGATGGGATGCAGGACCAGCTGTTTCCTCTCATGAATATACAGAGAGACTGTTCCTGCATTTCAGATCCATGTCTCTTGTGTATTGACTTTCTTTATTACTTTATTAAATATAACAAAAGAAAAACTTTGTCCACGAATCATTTCTCAGTTTCTCTGAAGAATTTCCTCCACAGTTACAAAGTGCTGACTGCAGCAGATCTGTGTTGAAGGTCCCCTATCATGCAGAATCCTCTTCTTCATGTCTCTTCTTCATCAACATGTGTCCCCTCTTCTTCATGTCTCTTCTACATCAACATGTGTCCCCTCTTCTTCATGTCTCTTCTTCATCAACATGTGTCCCCTCTTCTTCATGTCTCTTCTTCATCAACATGTGTCCCCTCTTCTTCATGTCTCTTCTTCATCAACATGTGTCCCCTCTTCTTCATGTCTCTTCTACATCAACATGTGTCCCCTCTTCTTCATGTCTCTTCTACATCAACATGTGTCCCCTCTTCTTCATGTCTCTTCTTCATCAACATGTGTCCCCTCTTCTTCATGTCTCTTCTTCATCACCATGTGTCCCCTCTTCTTCATGTCTCTTCTTCATCAACATGTGTCTCCTCTTCTTCATGTCTCTTCTACATCAACATGTGTCCCCTCTTCATGTCTCTTCTTCATCAACATGTGTCCCCTCTTCTTCATGTCTCTTCTACATCAACACGTGTCCCCTCTTCTCCATGTCTCTTCTTCATCAACATGTGTCCCCTCTTCTTCATGTCTCTTCTACATCAACATGTGTCCCCTCTTCTTCATGTCTCTTCATCAGCATGTGTCCCCTCTTCTTCATGTCTCTTCTTCATCAACATGTGTCCCCTCTTCTTCATGTCTCTTCTTCATCAACATGTGTCCCCTCTTCTTCATGTCTCTTCTTCATCAACACGTGTCCCCTCTTCTTCATGTCTCTTCTACATCAACATGTGTCCCCTCTTCTTCATGTCTCTTCTACATCAACATGTGTCCCCTCTTCTTCATGTCTCTTCTTCATCAGCATGTGTCCCCTCTTCTTCATGTCTCTTCTTCATCAACATGTGTCCCCTCTTCTTCATGTCTCTTCTTCATCACCATGTGTCCCCTCTTCTTCATGTCTCTTCATCAACATGTGTCCCCTCTTCTTCATGTCTCTTCTTCATCAACATGTGTCCCCTCTTCTTCATGTCTCTTCTTCATCACCATGTGTCCCCTCTTCTTCATGTCTCTTCATCAACATGTGTCCCCTCTTCTTCATGTCTCTTCTTCATCAACATGTGTCCCCTCTTCTTCATGTCTCTTCTTCATCAACATGTGTCCCCTCTGTGGAAAGAGACTCTGAAAGTTTCAGGAACAAAGATTCTCTCTCTTTTTGATCCATTTCTATAAAAACCTGTCTGAAAATGAGCTGATCAGATTTTGGCCACTTGATGATGTCATAACGATGTTTAGTCTTGTGTAACCATTAGCCAATCAGCAACCAAGGTAACCCCCCCCCCCCCTTATCACCTGAATCTCCTCCTAGAGCACCATTGAGTTCTTTGTAACCAAATCTCTCTCAGAGGGGCGTGGGGAGGGGCTCCTTATTTTCATCTAAAGTAACAGACAGAGAATCAGCACTTTGGAAACAGGGCTGAAACAGAGGGGATTATGGGTAATGCTGCAATGATCTGTTTGGTGTTTCAGCCAATCAGAGACAGGCTCTGGATATATCTGAGACCTGTGATATATTGATGAGAAACAGTATAATAGGTGACCTTTAACCTCCTGCTGCTCTCTTCCTGTTACCCAGAGGGCCGTTGGGCTGCTGCTGCGTCGCGGTGCTGAAGCGACGGCGCGGGATAAGTTCTGGCAGACTCCGCTGCACGTGGCGGCCGCTAACCGCTCGACACGCTGCGCTGAGGCGCTGCTCGCCACGCTCAGCAACCTCAACATGGCCGACAGATACGGGAGGACGCCGCTGCACCACGCCGCGCAGAGCGGGTTCATGGAGGTCAGGAAACACATGTACACTATTTCAATCAAACAGGATGAATCAGGGTTACATTACATTCAAGATTTCATAACACCAAGGGATGAATTGGCAACAAAATTGGACTTAAATGAGATAAAACCAATTCATACTTCCAACTAATCTTTTCAAAACAACCAAACACCGACCAGACCTCCCCTTCACATCAATGATGAGACCCTCTATGCTTCCTGTAGATATTAAACTGCTCTTTTCACTACACTGTTAGTGTACAGTTTTATTATTATTGTGCTGGTATTACTCTTTGTTTACGACCGTTACGTCCACAATAAGGTCTAGGGCAGTGGTTCCCAACCTGTGGGCCTCGGCCCCCTAGTGGTCCTCAAAGGCATTGCAAGTGGGCCGCCAAATTATTTAAATGTATTTAAATTTTGTACAGGCTAAAGACACACACATGGACATAACAATAACATATAGGAGATGATATTCCCATCTCAGACCAAAACAGAAGAAATAAAGATACAGTCAGTAGGATCACTTCAACTTTTCACAAACAGAAATAGGTTGACAACCAAAATAATAATTTTTTCCAAAATAAATTTTATTTTTAATCTACTCTTCAAACACCTTAAATGAAGATTACTCCTTGATTGACTTTTAAAAATATGTATTTTAGCCAGAAGAATAGTTCTATTTATTAACTGTGTGCGGTCTTCATCTAAAAGCCAAAATAACATATTAAAGGGTGTAAATGTAAATTCAATAATTGCCGCCAAATAATTTGCAAAACATGATTTGTGTGGAAACATTTTCATTATTAAGATTTTTTTTTTTTTTTTAACCTCTTTTCCTTTCTCTTTCTCGATCCTCCTTAGCAACGGTCCTTACAGTCCTTAGCAATGGTCATTACAGTCCTTAGCAACGGTCATTACAGTCCTTAGCAACGGTCATTACAGTCCTTGGCAACGGTCATTCCAGTCCTTGACAGCGGTCTGTTCTACTGGATTAACAACGTGTCACATGTTCTGAATCGACCAATCAGAACTTTATTTAGCCTCCGTATTGTTGATGGTTGAATACGGGGCGCGATAATGTTTTTGATTCTTATGTGGGCCCTGAGCTGGAAAAGGTTGGGAGCCGCTGATCTAGGGAAAACTGGAGACTGTCACATACAACAACCAATACTATTAAACACATTTTTACACTAAAGTATTATCTTATTCTCACTACACTATGAATAGTTTTATTTTTTATCTTATTCTAAAAATAGAATCTGGCATCTTGACTCAAATATCAGCTCAAACACACAGAGCAGACGTGCAACATGTGCACATATCAACCTTATTTAATCAGTATGTCCTTAAAATGAGACCTTAATGAGTGATTTCTTTTCTCTAAATGTGTGTTATTTGTCCCACAGATGGTGAAGCTGCTGCTGAACAAAGGGGCCAACCTGAGCGCCATCGATAAGAAGGAGAGACAGCCCATCCATTGTGCTGCTTACTTGGGTGAGACAGTCTCTCTTACTGCCAAAACTGCACAAAAAAACACATTTTATTGTGAAAAATCTGAAAAAAGCTCCTTTTGTTTGAGACGAGTCTGACTCATAAGAGGGGCGACAACACGGCCAAGTCCTGACGTAATGAAACGAGAAACAATGAGACCGACTGTTGGCTCGTAAACACTGTGGACTTATTGCTTTAAAGGTCCCCTATTATACTGTTTTTCATCACTATAGTACAGGTCTCAAATATATATACAGAGCCTGTCTCTGATTGGCTGAAACACCAAACAGATCATTGCAGCATTACCCATAATCCCCTCTGTTTCAGCTCTGTTTCAAAAGTGCTGATTCTCTGTCTGTAGCTTTAAATGCTAATGAACTGCTGCTGGCCACGCCCCTCTGAGAGATGATTGGTTTAAAAAGAACTCAATGGTGCTCTAGGAGGAGATTCAGGTGGTGCTTATTGGCTAATGGAAGAAGTGGATTTTGCAGAATAGTGTACCTTTTCATTTTGATTTCAGTTTCGTTGTACAAACATTTTCAGACTTTTGTCAAAAGTCTATGGAAAAAAAATATATATATATAACATTTAAAAAAAAAAGATAATTAATTAAATTATATAAAAAAATTATAACACATGAATAAACATTGTGGTGTGTGTGTGTGTGGTGTGTGTGTGTGGTGTGTGTGTGTGTGTGTGTGTGTGTGTGTGTGTGTGTGTGTGTGTGTGTGTGTGTGTGTGTGTGTGTGTGTGTGTGTGTGTGTGTGTGTGTGTGTGTGTGTGTGTGTGTGTGTGTGTGTGTGTGTGTGTGTGTGTGTGTGTGTGTGTGTAGTGTGTGTGTGTGTGTGTGTGTGTGTGTGTGTGTGTGTGTGTGTGTGTGTGTGTGTGTGTGTGTGTGTGTGTGTGTGTGTGTGTGTGTGTGTGTGTGTGTGTGTGTGTGTGTGTGTGTTGCAGGGCATTCGGAGGTGGTGAAGCTGCTGGTGTCTCGCTCTGCAGATAAGAGCTGTAAGGATAAGCAGGGCTACACTCCTCTGCACGCTGCTGCTGCCAGCGGACACCTGGACATCGTGAAGTACCTGCTGAGGATGGGCACAGAGGTGAGACACTCGCTATGAAATAATGTTTAAAACTAGCTATGTTATCTGTTTCATAAAACCAGCAGCCTGAGGGACTTTATTTCACTCTCTGTGGCCTCGTAAGGCATTTGATTACATCATATTTCTCAATGCTTAAATATCGTCTCTAACTCAAGTGATATTGAATATGTTCCATGTGGCCCGGCCCTCACACTAGAGGCGGTTAATAGGAATCTGATTACTTGATATATACCGAAAAAGATTGACTTTACAGTTTTGTTATTGCATTACAGTTTTCATATGATAATTACAAATAGAATAAATAACTGTGTTTAGGATTTTGTGTCTTTTAATATCTCACTATTTTGTTGTGTTTTAAAGTCTGCATTTCAGTAAACTATTTGTCTTTACCCACTAAGTCCTTCTAGGCTCATACCTGATGATTACGTAATATTTTTCAATGATTAACCCTTTAATATCGTCTCTAAATCAAGTGATATTGAATATGCTCCATGTGGCCCGGCCCTCACACTGGAGGCGGTTTTTCTGATAGGACAGTTTTGATTTGAACATGGACAGATTGGTGCGGTGTCGGATGTGTTTGGGGAGAGAGCTGCAGAGGGGGGTGGAGGAGGAGGCTCCGCCCCCCCGGGCCCGTCGCTCGGCCCCGTGAGGTGGAGACAGGAAGTGAGCGTCAGAGGAGCGAAGGCAGCAGGAAGGAGTGTGGTGGTGGAGCAGGTGGGCGAGGTAATAAGAACTGCATACTGTGATGGAAACTTCTGCTGAAGCAATGGAGACGAAACTCAGAGAGACACGGGGAGAGAGCAGGAACTATGAGTGAAATGAAATCGGGTATTCACACCATGGATGTTTAATAAGAACTGGATACAGCGTCGGACAAAACCTGCTGACTTTTAGACGAGGAAATGAATTTACTCATATCTTATGTCAGAAAAGTACAAAACACTGTGCAAATAGCTGGTAAAACCATAACCAGAGTTTTCCCTTTATGACGTCACTTTCTTGCAAACACAAATCAGGTGACCTTAGGACGTAAACAAGAGGGTAGTTTAGTTTGTCGTGTCAACTACAATAAACAGTAAATGGGGCAGCTTTAGCCAACATTGCTAATTTCCAGCTGTTGTCCCCGACCAGATGATAATAGACACCTTTTTAAAATCACAACACATCAACAGCATTAGTTATAAAGAAAGGATGAAAGACAAGGCTCCGATCATCTGTGTGTTAGTAGAGAAGACCTGTTCCCCCTGAGGTCTTCCTGTCTGATCTGGTGTGTCTCTCTGTGTGTGTCCTTCAGATCGACGAGCCGAACGGCTTCGGGAACACGGCGCTGCACGTGGCGTGCTACACGGGGCAGGAGGCGGTGGCCAACGAGCTGGTGAACCACGGGGCCAACGTGAACCAGCCCAACCGCTGCGGGTACACCCCCCTGCACCTGGCCGCCGTCTCCACCAACGGAGCGCTGTGTCTGGAGCTGCTGGTCAACAACGGGGCCGACGTCAACCAGCAGGTAGGAAACTGTGATGGATCCGAAACCTTAGACACTCGAGACATAACAAGTTATAACAAAAATAGAAACACAGACACACCGCTGATTGAAGGATTTATTATATTGTTGTACAACAGTATACGAGCCAGAATACTTGCGTCAAGTCCGCTAAGAGTATGTGTCTGTCTGAAGAAGAACAGAATCTTAAAGGTTTACACAACACTACCTTTGGACCTTTTACAATCACATGTTACACCCTATGCTCAATAACACGCTGATAACAGACGTGTGCACATTCATGGTACAAATGTCTCTTAGAGGTTCAAACTGAGAAAAAGTGCACAAATTACTGACTCTTTTTCTGGGATAAGTACAGCCGCACCATTTGGAAAATTGCGATATGTTTTCACGATTTAACCTGTTAAGCCCGAGAGACCGGGGTACTGCCGTAACATCTTGCAGGAAACAGTGTCTGAGGGCATGTTCATTTAATAAACTATGAATGTTTTATATCCATGTAACGGGAAGAAACTCATCTAACTGATCATCTTTATTTTTTTTTTCAAAAGAAAACCCACAATGCTAACACTGAGCCTCTGAATTAGCAACGAGCGAAAAATGCTAACACCTTACTGCACCGAAAATCACTCATAAAACCTTATTATTTATCTTTTCACCACATCCAACACATCGTTTCACATCGTGAGGTGACACAGAATCGATGGGTACCCTCATTATCACTGAATTATACGGATTTGCGACGTTATAAGCAAAAACAGACAACAAAACGGGTGACGCTCGGTAGCTAGAAATGCTAACATTTTTACCTTGGCTCTGTAGTCTCTCCAAAGTGGTCTTCAATGGCATTAAAACGATAAAAACGCTGCTGAAGTTAATCCATAGGTTAATCCAATGTGTCTGTGTCCCTTTGAAATGATTTCTGATAATCCATGATCAATAAAACGGATAATCCATGCCTTTCCGTTTCTAGATATCAGAGCTAGAGTGTAGCTTCACTCTAATGCAAAATTACATGCGCAAAGCCCCCACCTTTTTGTTTTACAACGAGTGTGTGTGGGGGACTCCCCCTTCGATTCTATTGTCTCTAACGGTCAGAAAGAGGTGTCAACCATCAAAATCGAGCAAGGGGGGCCAGAGATATGGAAAATCCACCCAAATGACCCCAGAAGTGGTTTCTTTTTTGCTAAATCTCTCTGAAAAGGTCAAATGTCACTTGTTTTGCATCAATCTTGATACAGGGTACTTATCATATGTTGTACTTTGGATTCCTAAAGCTTTTAGTCTACTAACCCATCATCCAAGGGTAGTTTTCACTATAAGTAAAAAAATATTTTTGGACGGACACTATAATTTACAGTTTTTTTACTATGTAAAATCTGAATTTTCTTTAAAATAAAAAACATCTATATTGATTCTGACTTTTTTACATCCAACTCACAGGTTTATCATTACTTTGAGAATAAAGATTATTAATTTAACCCTTTCAGAAGGGAAGATATGGTCATTTGTTCTGGGAATGTCATTTTCGAGCCTGAGACCTGAAAAACAGGCTCAGAGCTTAACAGGTTAAGTGAATGCTAATTAAAACAAATATTATCATTTTAGAATATATTGAAATGATTATCCTCTTATTTGGCGATAATATGTGTACAATGCTGTGTTGACACATAACTCACTTACTTGTGCAAGTTTGACTGTGGGATCATTTGAGTTTAAAAAACATGAATTGTTATCTGTTGCAAACATGCAGAAACAGACTTAGGATAATTATAGGTTGTCAAACCCGCCTCCTTCACCGTGGGCTTAGCAGCTTTCTTAAGCTTAATCAAATAAATCTCACTAAGCATGGAATACTAATGTCCTCTGAATAAACTCCAGATTAAATAACTTGATTAAATATTCTGGCCTGAGAAGGATATGGCACAAAGACCTTGGTAGTGAGAGTAGAGAGGATCTATGACAGGATGTAGGTTTGGCTACAAGGGATGCGAGAAGCAAGTTTATCCATTATGAAATTGTGCATAGATATTATTTTACAGCCCTGAAATAGTTTAAAATGGGCTTAAATCCAGATTCTCCAGATGGCCAGTCCGCCCCTGCTCACTAACTGAGTCTCTTCTCGGTCATTGTAGACCGAAGGCTTCTCGTTGTACGCCGTCCCGTTCAAATGACAATCACATTTCCATGCTCGCGCCTGGGCCGGGGGGGAGGGGTTACAAGGCTCGCGTCTTGTGCTGCATTCACTTGCACTCGGACATTAGGCAAAGCAAGTTTATTTATATAGCACTTTTCAGCACGCGACAATTCAAAGTGCTTTACAAAACAAATGAAAATACTTTTTATGAATAAATACAGTAAAAACACATTTATATAATGGCATTTTATAACAGGCATTACAAAGCAAAGATAATAAAATAATAAAAATAAACACCACAGGTATACAATACATGTTTAAAAGGCATACTGTAGTTCGAATATGAGCAGCTCAATTAAAAGCAGCGGCAAAGAGATATGTTTTTAGTCTCGATTTAAAAATGGTAAGCGTTTCTGCGGACGTGCACGATTTGGGTAGTTTGTTCCAGAGTGTCGGGCATAATAGCTAAATGCTGCCTCTCCATGATTTGTTGTTACCCTCGGAACCGATAGCAGACCCGTCCCAGAGGGGTTTTCTCTCATAAATGTCCGAAAAAAAAAACGTTTCTTTGAAAACAAAGCTAATTTTTCGGGCCAAGTATTATTGCTGGCGGGCCAACAATGTCCCGTGGGCCGCCTGTTGCCGACCCATGCTCTATGGCAGGGGTGTCAAACTCAATTTCATCACGGGCCACATTAGCATCATGGTTGCACTCAAAGGGCCGGTTGTAACTTTAAGACTATATAAAAATACATATATAAATATTTAATATATAAAATAATGTATTATATTACATTATTGCCTCTGCATTGGGTTATTATCGGTCTACGTCTGAAAGCAGAAGTCTAGGGCAAATAATTGCAAGTCTCTTCAGTAAGAATGTCACAAAATGATTTAAAAAGAAAAGCCACATTCTGGAAAAACTAAAAAAAATAAGTAACATTTTGGAAAAAAAAGTGAAATTTTGAAAAAAATGTGAAATTTTGAAAAAAAAGTGAAATTTTGAGGAAAAAAATGTAATTCTGAGAAAAAGGCAAATTCTAAGAAAAAATGCATATTTTGAAGAAAGAAATGCATATTTTGAAGAAAAAAAATGCATATTTTGAAGAAAAAAAATCAAATTCTGTGAACAAATTTGAGATGCATTGTGGGACATGTAGTTTATGGGCAACGTGCTTCTGTAAAGTAGCATGTAACCGTATAATAAACATATTATATTCTTTGCAAGCTCTTATGGGGCCACAGAAAATGAAGTCGCGGGCCGGATTTGGCCCCCGGGCCTTGAGTTTGACACCCCTGCTGTATGGGATTGCCCAATGGTACTGCCTTTTTGGAAGGTGGTATCAACAAAGCCTTGAAGGGTGCTGCCTTTGAGTTGGATGCCTTTGGTTAGGGTTAGGGATGCCAGAAACTGACCATGACCAAAATCGAAGATCGGACAGCCCTGGCGAATATTAATCGATTAATCGCCACCCCCCCTCCCCCTCCCCCCTCCCGGGAGGAGGAAAAAAAAAACACTGACAAATGGTATTCCGTTGTTTTCTTTTACTGGAACGTGTACATGGTACAAAAGGGCTCTTCAGGTAGAACAGTATTAATAATAGCATCATTGAAATAAATTAAATAAATAGCCTACTTTATGTGTATGTATGTATGGGTGTAGGCGAGAGCGCAGCCGGTTAAGGATTAGTCCTGCCGCCGAAAAAACCCTTTCCGAGGGCACAGAGCACTGCGGAGCCCCTCAGCTAAATTAACCGCACTCTTCATCTCCCATTCACTATCGATATAATGGCAGGTTATGGTAAAATAGGATTTAGTTGTAAGTGCCGTCCACCCGTCGGTGGTTATCGACACCTTTGAGACAGTTGATAAGAGTACGGCCCGGGACCCTGTAATCTGGTTCCACGCTTGCCATAAACTCAAGGAAACCGCCTCCTTCCACGACGGAGGGGGCGGGGCGGGGTCGGTGTGTACCAGGCTGCAGCAGCAGTCTGCACTCTGCGCTGCTGGCTTCCTCCAAGTTTACAGTAAAACAAACTGGTGGTGTGATCAATGGTCATTTACAATTATTAATACTATTACTATTATTAGCATTAGTCTATATTTTGGTTGAAACCAAACCAGGAAAAAAAAGAAAAACATAAATATTAATAAAAAAATATATTAATAAAATCGATTTTTAAAAATAATATTCGATTATGGAGACTGTAACGAATAATCGAATAATCGAATAATCGCTGGCATCCCTAGTTAGGGTTATGTTTGTTCTGCATTTATGTATAAAATATGAAAAATGTAATAAAAATCTTAAAGACCAAAGAAACATGATTTTATATTCTGTCTTTCAGAGCAAAAAAGGGAAGAGCCCCCTGCACATGGCGGCCATTCACGGACGCTTCACACGCTCCCAGATCCTCATCCAGAACGGTAAGCATCACTGAGACGAGAGGAGATGAGGCCGCCTCTTTCAGCTGCTCTCTAAACGCTCTCTGCTCTCCGTCAGGCGGGGAGATCGACTGCGTGGACAAGTACGGCAATACTCCTCTCCACGTTGCTGCTAAGTACGGCCATGAGCTCCTGATCAGCACTCTGATGACCAACGGAGCAGACACGGCCAGGTAGAGAAAACACCTGAGCTGATGGCACTGAATAGTAACATGAGGGTGGACAAGGAAAAGAAACATAGCATTTAAAGGTCACAGAGGGGATTATGGGTAATGCTGCAATGATCTGTTTGGTGTTTCAGCCAATCAGAGACAGGCTCTGTATATATCTGAGACCTGTGATATATTGATGAAAGACAGTATGATAGGGGACCTTTAAAACACAGATGCATTAATGGGAGTGGTCTAAGTGTGTTAGTTTGACATATTTCTGCACAGGGTTAAGGTTATCCAGAAGGAAGCTAACGATGAACCGCTGTGGACATATTTTACACACCTGAACATTAAAAAAAAATTGAAGTGCACTCACATTTTTGAATATTTACATTGATTTATCTTCCTCACGTTTATAGTGTAATGCAAGTGAGCAACCTGAACATAGGACCAATGAAAAGGCACATTGTTATATGCATGTAAAGACAGCTCTTTCTGACGAGGAACTAAAGCCCATTTCATCTTCAAAAGCCACCCGTCTCCATTGACACCTCAATCTCTTAATGAGTTCTCTGTGTTGTGTGATGTTTAAAAGTGGCGCTCAGTCACACAGCGCTGAAAATATTCCAAATATTCAGTTCCTCGTCAGAAAGAGCTGTCTTTACATGCATATAACAATACGACGTTTGAGACACAAGTGCCGTTTCATTGGTCCTACTTTCATGTTGTATTACACTATAGACTGAACAACTATAAATGTGAGGAAGATGGAGCGATGAGAATATTCCTAAATTAAAGCACACTTCAACTATTATAGATTTCCAGGTGTGTAAGATACGTCTACAGCGGTTCATCGTTAGCCTCCTGTCTGTTTCTACGAGCTGCATCTACTCCAAACTAACTGTCGTGTACGTCTCGTGCTATAAGACAGTTGAAATGGTTTTTACTGTAATAACATTTTAATGTGCCGTGTTTGTTCCAGACGTGGGATCCATGGGATGTTCCCTTTGCACTTAGCGGTGCTCTACGGGTTTTCAGACTGCTGTCGCAAGTTACTCTCCTCAGGTTGGTCTTTGGTATCATCATCTATGCTTTTATATACAGTTGGACGTCGTGGAGGAAACTGATAAATGATTCATGGATGAAGTTTGTCTTTTGCTATATTTAATAAAGTAATAAAGAAAGTCAATAAACAAGTGACATGGATCTGAAATGCAGGAACAGAGCAGCTTCATCCTCAGAGGAGAGAGAAGTTCTGCTGACAGTCTCTCTGAGGAAACAGCTGCTCCTCCATCCCATCATTAAACCAGAAAACAGCCCTTAAAGGTGGGGTAGGTCATTTTGGAGAAACCGGCTCGAGATCGCTAGAATTTGAAAATACACAACCGGAAGAAATCTGCCACTTCCTCACAGAGCCCCTCCTCCAACACACACGAACACACACATGACCAATGAGGGCACGAGATAAGTGTGTGCACAGATGGAAGGCTGACAGGCAGGTAGGCCATCCAGTTATTTTAGCCGGGCCGGCTCAGATGATTGGTCGTGCTTTTTACAGTACTACAGCTTCCACAGATGATATTTTTTATGGATTTATTGTCAAAGCACTTCAGATATTCATTGCTATCGGGATGTTAAGAGCATTCCATGGAATATAACAAAAAGTGTATCTCGAGCCGGTTTCTCAAACTTACCTACCCTACAATTCACTTCAGAAACACTTTTTGTTATATTCCATGGAATGCTCTTAACATCCTGATAGCAATGAATATCTGAAGTGCTTTGACAATAAATCCATAAAAAATGTCATCTGTGGAAGCCGTAGTACTGTAAAAAGCACGACCAATCATCTGAGCCGGCCCGGCTAAAATAACTGGATGGCCTACCTGCCTGTCAGCCTTCCATCTGTGCACAAACGTATCTCGTGCCCTCATTGGTCATGTGTGCGTTCGTGTGTGTTGGAGGAGGGGCTCTGTGAGGAAGTGGCAGATTTTCTCTGGTTGTGTATTTTCAAATTCTAGCGCACTCGAGCCGGTTTCTCAAACTTACCTACCCTACCTTTAACCATTTGCAAATCCACCTTTTACACTTCCTGAAATGTAGAAATCCTTAACACATGTGTCTCAGTTAAACACATACAAGACTACAAATACAATTGAACAGAGTAAAAGGCAATCAGAGTATAAGACTATATGTTTTAAAGCAGAGGTGTCCAAACATTTTTCACTGAGGGCCACGTACAGAAATATCAGAAGGGCTGGGCCGCTCCCTAGAGGAGAGGTTTATTGCCTAAATGTAGGTAAATGATTCTTGATACTTGGACATTCTTCACAGCGTACATCCCAGCTCTCCATAGGGTTAGTTTATCTTGTTGGCAGCTCATTCCTTCAAACAGAAGCTTCAGATTGCTGATAAAAAAGCAAATATGAAAGGTTGATTTCAAGCTTGTTATGTAAATAAGTCATTCGGCTTTTCAAACTAACATTTGTTTTAAAATGTTTCCAAAATGAATTGACTGATTTTATTGGAAAAGTGGGCCTTTTAGTTTGAATACTGTGTAATATATTTGTACGTATATATTTAAGAAGTACAATATATGACAAGCGCAAGTTTCATTTGTGGGCCATATTCAGAATTAGCTGGGAGCCGATTCAAAATGGACACCCCTGATTTAAATGATTGTGATAATTTGACAGGACTATCTGCTCACGCCAGCTGTTCCTCCTCCTCCCTGCAGGTCAGCTGTACAGTATCGTTTCCTCCATGAGTAAGGAGCACGTTCTCTCCGCTGGGTTTGACATAAACACCCCCGATAACTTTGGGAGGACCTGTCTACACGCTGCTGCCTCCGGAGGGTGAGACGCACCGGCTGATCTGGATCATAAAAGACCCTAAATGTGGTGGTGGTGGTGGTATCACATCCGTAACCCTGATTTCCTTTTGTCTTCACAGAAATGTTGAATGTCTGAACTTGCTCTTAAGTAGCGGGACCGACTTGAATAAGAGGGACGTAATGGGAAGGTGAGTTTATCGATGTGTGACTCTTTAAAGTAGAGACACTACATACTGATATACACCTGAACATCAGCAGGAGAGGACTCTTTAAAGTAGAGACACTACTTACTGATATACACCTGAACATCAGCAGGAGAGGACTCTTTAAAGTAGAGACACTACATACTGATATACACCTGAACATCAGCAGGAGAGGACTCTTTAAAGTAGAGACACTACATACTGATATACACCTGAACATCAGCAGGAGAGGACTCTTTAAAGTAGAGACACTACATACTGATATACACCTGAACATCAGCAGGAGAGGACTCTTTAAAGTAGAGACACTACATACTGATATACACCTGAACATCAGCAGGAGAGGACTCTTTAAAGTATAGACACTACATACTGATATACACCTGAACATCAGCAGGAGAGGACTCTTTAAAGTAGAGACACTACATACTGATATACACCTGAACATCAGCAGGAGAGGACTCTTTAAAGTAGAGACACTACATACTGATATACACCTGAACATCAGCAGGAGAGGACTCTTTAAAGTAGAGACACTACATACTGATATACACCTGAACATCAGCAGGAGAGGACTCTTTAAAGTATAGACACTACATACTGATATACACCTGAACATCAGCAGGAGAGGACTCTTTAAAGTAGAGACACTACATACTGATATACACCTGAACATCAGCAGGAGAGGACTCTTTAAAGTAGAGACACTACATACTGATATACACCTGCACATCAGCAGGAGAGGACTCTTTAAAGTAGAGACACTACATACTGATATGCACCTGAACATCAGCAGGAGAGGACTCTTTAAAGTAGAGACACTACATACTGATATACACCTGAACATCAGCAGGAGAGGACTCTTTAAAGTAGAGACACTACATACTGATATACACCTGAACATCAGCAGGAGAGGACTCTTTAAAGTATAGACACTACATACTGATATACACCTGAACATCAGCAGGAGAGGACTCTTTAAAGTAGAGACACTACATACTGATATACACCTGAACATCAGCAGGAGAGGACTCTTTAAAGTAGAGACACTACATACTGATATACACCTGAATATCAGCAGGAGAGGACTCTTTAAAGTAGAGACACTACATACTGATATACACCTGAATATCAGCAGGAGAGGACTCTTTAAAGTAGAGACACTACATACTGATATACACCTGAACATCAGCAGGAGAGGACTCTTTAAAGCAGTGAAGAGGAACATAATCACGGCATGGTGACAGTTCTGCCTTCCAGCTGTGAAAACGCATTCATTCTAAGAACAGAATATTTAACAAAGAAACGTCACATTGCGGTGCACATAATTAAGCCAGAGACACATAGTGACACTTTAGCGTTCTTACACAGTGTGTCTGTAACATGACTGTTTCCTCCCCCCTCCTCCCCCTCCCTCCCCCTCCTCCCCCCTCAGGACCCCGTTGCACTATGCTGCTGCTAACGGGAGGTACCAGTGCACCGTGACGCTGGTGAGCGCCGGAGCTGAGGTGAACGAGCCGGACCAGACGGGCTGCACCCCGCTGCACTACTCCGCCGCCTCGCAGGCCTTCAGCAGGTAACACACCTCTTCAGTTTCTCCATTAGCTCCAGCGTTAGTGTTAGGAAAGTCTCACTCGTCACCGGCTTGAGCTTCAATCTCAGGATCCATGTATCTCTGATCCTCTCCAGAATGGAAGGAGTCAAAATCTAAAAAAATCAGACTTTTTCTCAAAATCTCAAAAATCTGACTTTTACACACAAATCTAAAAAATGCTGACTTTTCTCAAAAAATATGAATTTTTCTCAAAAATCTCAAAACATTTGACTTTTTCACAAAAATCTCAAAAAATTGACTTTTTCTCAAAATCTCAAAATGTTGACTTTTTCTCAAAATCTCAAAATTCTGACTTTTTCTCAAAAATCTCAAAAATCTGACTTTTTCTGAATACTTCAAAATGTTAATAATCACTGGTCCCCGGCTTGAGCTTCAATCTCAGGATCCATGTATCTGTGATCCTCTCCAGAATGGAAGTAGTCATCACATCCAGAGCATCAACTAGTTCCTGAACAGTGTCCTTCACATGCTGATATCCAAGAGAGGGAGTTACACAGTCACAAGATGGAGGAATAGAAAGCAGTATTCAATGTTTACTTCAGATTAGCTCCACGTCAGAAATGAGCATGCTTGTCATATGTCTATCTCCATAGAGGCTGAATCATCATGTTAATCACATAGCTATCATATGCCTCAAACAGTCCTGATGCTCTTCTAGGTAATCACACATCCTGTCATGTACACAGCTACAGTTGGGATACCTTTGTTATCATGTTACTCTCATGTTGGAAGAGGACGTTCAGGATTCTCCCAACAGTTAGCGTTGGTTATTCTTATTTGATTTATTTAGAACGTGTAAAACAATAATAATGAAATGAAACAAGAGAATTATGATACTGTTCAAACTTAAGCAAATTGATAAACCCAAATATTATGGACTTACATCCGAGAAGGAGTGTGAAGAAGTTTACAATTATTTAATCCACCCCTTCTCCCAAAAACTAAATGCATGTCTACGTACAATATACATTTACAAATAGATCATTATTACTACAATATATATATATTATTCTTTTACGTTGTGTGTGTTATTTGATAAGACAAATATAAAAGCCTATCTAAAGGTTTACTCTCTCTTTTCTGAAGGCGTTACGTCGACTCGGGCCTTTTTATATTTTTTCTTGTTGCACTGACCTTGAGAACGTTTATTGAATCAAAGCTTTTCTTCTTCTTTTCAGAGTTGATCGGCATTTTTCTGCAAACCATCAGAACGATGAGGACGAAGCCAAGGAGTCGTACTTGTGAGTTTGTTTCTCGTTTATATAGTCTTTCTTCTCGTGCTTCAGCATGCTCACGAATTCTGGTCACAACACCATCTCCACTAAAGCAGCAGACGGACACTATCTGTCATTAACCAGTACAGATACATCTTTAAAAACCTAAGCTTACATGTGCCACGGCTAGACGATAGGGTGAAATCTAAATTATTTAAATTAAAGTATTTAGCAGCGGTTCCCAACCTTTTCCAACTCAGGGCCCGCTTAAGAATCAAAACATTTTTCGCGGCCCACATTCAACCATAAACAATATGGAGGCTAAATAAAGTTCTGATTGGTCAATTCAGAACATGTGACACGTTGTTAATCCAGTAGAACAGACCGCTGTCAAGGACTGTAACAGGGTGTCCGCGGGGTCTTAAAAAGTATTAAAAGTTGATAAATCAATTTAGCGAAAATGAAGGCTATTAAAAAGTATTAAACAGCATTTTCCAAAGTATTACGTATATAAATTGGTCCAAATGGTTGGAAGATAAGGAGGTAGGACAATCAATACTGTGTATATAGTCAATGTGAGGTAAAGTGTGTCGCCAATGTAATCGGTTAAAACTCAAAATGGCGATGAGGTCTTAAAATGTATGGAAAGGGTCTTAAAAAAGGTCTTAAAAGGTGTTACATTTGACTTCAGGATTCCTGCATAGACCCTGTGGAATGACCGTTGCTAAGGACTGTAATGACCGTTTCTAAGGACTGTAATGACCGTTGCTAAGGACTGTAATGACCGTTGCTAAGGACTGTAATGACCGTTGCTAAGGACTGTAATGACCGTTGCTAAGGACTGTAATGACCGTTGCTAAGGACTGTAATGACCGCTGTCAAGGACTGTAATGACCGTTGCTAAGGACTGTAAGGACCGTTGCTAAGGACTGTAATGACCGTTTCTAAGGACTGTAATGACCGTTGCTAAGGACTGTAATGACCGTTGCTAAGGACTGTAATGACCGTTGCTAAGGACTGTAAGGACCGTTGCTAAGGAGGATCGAGAAAGGAAAAGAGGTTAAAATAAAAAAGTCTTAATAATGAAAATGTTTCCACACAAATCATAATGTTTTGCAAATTATTTGGCGGCAAATATTGAATTTACATTTACACCCTTTAATATGTTATTTGGGCTTTTAGATGAAGACCGCACACAGTTAATAAATACAACTATTCTTCTGGATAAAATATATATTTCTAAAAGTCAATCAAGTAGTAATCTTAATTTAAGGTGTTTGAAGAGTAGATTACAAATACAATTTCTTAAGGAAAAAAGTATTGCCACAAAAATCAAGGGGTGCCTTTTAAAAAGAATTATTTGGCGGCCCACTTGCAATGCCTTCGCGGACCACTAGAGGGCCGCGACCCACAGGTTGGGAACCGCTGACTTATAACAATTACTTATTTAATCATTTATTGGGAAAACTGTTAACATAAAACCAGAGAGAGCCACTAGAGGGCAGGAGGGATTTTATAACGGCAGCTTGAGAGTCCTGCGAAAAAGTACTGGGTCTAAATTAGAAGTTAAAATCCACTTCCTTTCTATTTCACCCCCTAACGACTAACGATCCAAGGTTAAAGCTGTGCCCGAAGACCCCCTGCTGTGAAAGCTTCCAGTCTTAATCAATAGTGTTTTATTGTCAGAGTTTATAGATTATTTATCTTCACGGCCTACTGTATATTTTCTACTTTTTAATACTGATTTAATTCTATTTTGAGATGTTTAAACTCGAGTATTGTTTATTTCTACACTCTTTAATTTCTACTCATGTGCAATGCCTTGTTTAGTTGAGTTGTTTACCTCCTATCTCATCTTAATCCTCGCTCTTTCTTTCGTCTTCATCAGCTGCTTGGAGCACCTCCTGGATAACGGAGCGGATCCGTCCATGGTGAACTCTAAGGGTTACAGCGCCGTTCACTACGCAGCGTATCACGGGAACAAGCAGAACCTGGAGCTGGTGGGTTTTAATGTCATGATATAAACACTAACTCACACACACCATGGCTACTGCTATCGGTAAACATGGGGTAAGTTATGATGACTGATGATGGTATTGTGTTTCAGCTCCTGGAGATGTCCTTCAACGCACTCGGAGACATAGAGAGCAGTATTCCAGTCAGTCCTCTGCACCTCGCTGTAAGTCTTTCTCACTTGAGTCAGATGCTGCCTTCAGGGTCCAACACAGAAATACTATCTCCGGTATAATTATTTGTTCACAACACTTTGCTGCTGCTGGTGTTTTTATTTTCTATAAAATGTCTTGTCTGTGTTGAACAAGAAAACTAATACAAATATTTTGAAAAGAGAATACCTTTATTACAGCACAGTGTGCGAAAAAGCACACGTCCGATCGATCGGAGCATCCCTAATATCTGAGACCTCAAGTGTGCGAAAAAGCAAACGAGCCATTTTTTTTTGTGTCAAGTAATACAAGACAGAATGATATGATGATCTCCGCGCTACGGGTGCTCCGTGCATGATGCATGCAGTGACATGTAATATCCAAGGATTAGAGACGGTTGGGTGCTGCTGTTTTGAGCATTGTTATTTATTTATGATTACCTTTAGGCTCAGCAAAGATTTGATGTCAGCTGCTGCTGTCTTTAGTTAACACTGAAATAGAGCCCTGCTGTTTTGTTCGGGCTTTTTCTTTAAATACAATTTTCAAATGCTGATGGTGAAATGGTGTGTTCAGGTAACAAGGAAAAACATTGAAATCAATTCTGTCAGAAAACAGTGGATTAAGGGCTTGAAAGGGGACCCTACCATTTATGTACTGATGGGCCTGAAAAGGGGTCAAATCATTTTAGAAAAGAAAAAACAGGCATGTCCAGATCGGACAAGTGAAAAATGTATTCGGACAAGTAAATTGCCAAACTCACTTGTCCATGGACAAGTACTCTCTAAAATATTGTTCTTACACTGCAGCGGAAAAGATCCAAAGCCAGCTTAATGCTAACTAAGAAGCATGCATGAAAACATATGAAAGATAACAACAATTTACAAGAATTACACAATTGACAAAATACACATCCTGTAACAGTTCTGAAGATGTAGCAGCCAGCTATATATTTTGACCACTTTATGATGTCACCTTATCACCTGAATCTCCTCCTAGAGCACCATTGAGTTCTTTGTAACCAAATCTCTCTCAGAGGGGCGTGGGGAGGGGCTCCTTATTTTCATCTAAAGTAACAGACAGAGAATCAGCACTTTGGAAACAGGGCTGAAACAGAGGGGATTATGGGTAATGCTGCAATGATCTGTTTGGTGTTTCAGCCAATCAGAGACAGGCTCTGTATATATCTGGACCTGTGATATACTGATGAAGAAGAGGATACTAGAGGACCTTTAACAACCTTCTCCCCTCCCCCCTCAGGCTGATAAGGGTCACTGGCAGGCGCTGCGTGTCCTCACGGAGACGGCAGCGTACGTGGACATGCAGGACGCCGCCGGGCGCTCTGTCCTCTACCTGGCGGCGCAGAAAGGGTTCCCGCGCTGCGTGGAAGTGCTGCTGGCTCAGGGAGCGTCCTGTCTGCTCAACGACACACAGCTCATGTGGACGCCCATCCACGTCGCAGGTATCCCCCGAGAGATTCAGATACATTTGATGTTTATAGTGCTCCAAGACGCTTATATAGCACTTTTCATACAGCACTTACAGCTCAACGTGCTTTACAACATGACACATAAGTAAAAAATAAACAAGAAATTCCCCTCAGATTATTTGTTAAGAACTTTAAAAGGTACATGCAGCAAAATATAACATGTTATCAGGTTAATAGACACAAGGAGGTCAACTGTATGATAATAATTGTGTTATCATACATTTGTGTTGCGGATTGTAGAAATTCTGCTCTCAACTGTTCTCTGTTTTTATTTCAACTTAGGAAAATATCTTTGTGTTTGAACCGAGAAAAGACATTTAAAGAACAGAGATGGACATTTGCTCAATTCTCAGGCATTTTTCATGCAGTCTCTAGTAGGGCTGCACGATATTGGAAAAAACTGACATTGCGATATTTTCTCCCTGCGATATGAAGAAATACAGGAATTGAAGAAAAGACAGTTTTTTTGTCCCAAACCGTCCTCTCTTGAACTTTAATGCTATATAATTGTTGTTGTTTTTTTAACGATATTTAACCGGATGAAGGATTTTAGTCACAGACTTCTGGATCTTAAGTCATCAGAGCAACAAGCTGGGCTAGCTCGGTTATCCTGCTGTGATCTGCAGGGCTCTTACGGTCATTAAAAACCTGGAAAAGTCATGGAAATTCAAAATGCAAATTCCAGGCCCTGGAAAAGTTATGGAAAAAAATATTTTTCCCAAAGTTTTGGAAAACTCATGGAAATGTAACTAAAGTTGCATCAAATATAATTTATATTTTATCTAATCGCCGAAATAGTAATACTATAATGATAATAAATACTGTATCGTATAGTAACGTGAAATGGCATTTAACTGACGAGGTGTTTTGCTGGTGAGAGATTTTAGTTGCTTTAGCGTGTTGAAGCTAGTTAGCCTATTGGATTTGTTTCAGATAGGCACGACATGTTTCATGCTATTTGTGATGCTATTTTCTGACCTTTTAAACACCGGCAGCGGAGACAGTAATGAAAGTAATTGTTAGTTTTCCCTCTAATTTACTGTAAAAGTAGATTTATACATTATTAATCCTCATTGCTTTGTCCCACACCAGCTTCTAACGGTCACTCAGACTGCCTGCGGATGATGATCGATTACGGGGAGGAGGGGGACCTCACCAACGTGGCGGACAAATTTGGCCAGTGAGTAATTTCTTTTTGAAAAGCATGACTTCATTGAGCCGAAAGCTGATTTTACCAATGTCCTACACACCTAAAACCCCGTCCTAATGGTCTCTTCTGTCCCTTCAGGACCCCTCTGATGCTCGCCGTCCTGGGGGGTCACACTGACTGCGTCCACTTCCTGTTGGAGAAAGGAGCTCTGCCCGACGCCAAGGACAAGAGAGGCAGCACGGCCCTGCACAGAGGGGTGGGTACATACGTCTGAAATGCTCCTTGCATCACAGCAGCTCCATGTGTAACATCAACAGACAAATACATGAACAACAAACATGGAACATAACAGCAGGATCAGTGAGAGATGCTCAGAGCCTTCAGCGTGCATCTGATCGACTGGAGCACAAAGGATGCTTCAGGCTGACCTTAGTGTATCTCCATCAGATGGTAGCGGTCCATATTCTCTGTCAGAGCATGCTGTGGGTCCCTGGTGATGGCTGTCGAGGTAGCATCGATGTGTTTCACACTCATTCTCTCTACTAAACAAAGTAGTGTAGATAAGCTCGGTCATTAAAGGTAGAGTAGGTACGTTTGAGAAACCGGCTCGAGATCGCTAGAATTTGAAAATACACAACCGGAGAAAATCTGCCACTTCCTCACAGAGCCCCTCCTCCAACACACACGAACGCGCACATGACCAATGAGGGCACGAGATAAGTTTGTGCACAGATGGAAGGCTGACAGGCAGGTAGGCCATCCAGTTATTTTAGCCGGGCCGGCTCAAATGATTGGTCGTGCTTTTTACAGTATTACGGCTTCCACAGATGATATTTATTAATGGATTTATTGTCAAAGCACTTCAGATATTCATTGCTATCAGGATGTTAAGAGCATTCCATGGAATATAACAAAAAGTGTATCTCGAGCCGGTTTCTCAAACTTACCTACCCCACCTTTAAGCCCCTGCCTGGTGATTAAAGAGTGTTCATTAGGTTTCTGTGCATGTTATCGTAAGCATCTGGACTCGTAAGCAAATGTATGACTTCACTGAGAATATGGGATTTAGATTTTTTTCTCACCACTTTGTTCTCAGAGAGAATCCCCAAAATCTTGTTTCTTGGACAGTTAGAACGTCAAGTCCTGATATTTAAAAATGGATAATTGAAATATAATATAATTCTTAATCTAAGAATACGAAATCCCTTTTATAGAAAGCAGCCTGGAACTTATTAAAGCTGCCGTTAACTTATCTCCATAAAGTAAATCAGAATCAGGTTTATCACCAGGTAGGTTGGCACGTCCGAGGAATTTGACACAAAAATAATCAAATCAGAGGTTATAATCGTGCGTGTGTGTGTGTGTGTGTGTGTGTGTGTGTTAGGCGGTGTTGGGGCACGATGACTGTGTGTGTGCGCTGCTGCAGCACAAAGCGTCCTCAGTGTGTCGGGACGTGCAGGGCCGCACGCCGCTGCATTACGCCTCCTCACGAGGACACACGGAGATCCTGGCTGCGCTGGTGCAGGCCGCCATGACCACCGGCACTCAGAACAACCTGCTGGACGACAAGCAGTACACCCCCCTCCACTGGGCCGCGTACAAAGGTGAGGCTGAAACTCATCCATTTGGATTTACTGGCACTATTTTTATTTTGTATATATTTTATTGAACATTAAAAATACAAAATATACAATTACAGAATAAGAAAGGTACAGAAACATACTATTTATTTATATTTATTAGAGACAGACACACACACTCTCAGACAGGTGTGTATTACCTTGCACTATCTGACAGGTGTGTATTACCTTACACTCTCAGACAGGTGTGTATTACCTTGCACTCTCAGACAGGTGTGTATTACCTTACACTATCTGACAGGTGTGTATTACCTTACACTATCTGACAGGTGTGTATTACCTTGCACTCTCAGACAGGTGTGTATTACCTTGCACTCTCAGACGGGTGTGTATTACCTTGCACTATCAGACAGGTGTGTATTACCTTGCACTCTCAGACGGGTGTGTATTACCTTGCACTCTCAGACGGGTGTGTATTACCTTACACTATCAGACAGGTGTGTATTACCTTGCACTCTCAGACAGGTGTGTATTACCTTGCACTATCAGACAGGTGTGTATTACCTTGCACTATCAGACAGGTGTGTATTACCTTGCACTATCAGACAGGTGTGTATTACCTTGCACTATCAGACAGGTGTGTATTACCTTACACTATCAGACGGGTGTGTGTTACCTTGCACTATCAGACAGGTGTGTATTACCTTGCACTATCAGACAGGTGTGTATTACCTTACACTATCAGACGGGTGTGTATTACCTTGCACTATCAGACAGGTGTGTATTACCTTGCACTATCAGACAGGTGTGTATTACCTTGCACTATCAGACAGGTGTGTATTACCTTACACTATCAGACAGGTGTGTATTACCTTGCACTATCAGACAGGTGTGTATTACCTTACACTATCAGACAGGTGTGTATTACCTTGCACTATCAGACAGGTGTGTATTACCTTGCACTATCAGACAGGTGTGTATTACCTTGCACTATCAGACAGGTGTGTATTACCTTGCACTCTCAGACAGGTGTGTATTATATGAAGATGTCTGCTGACGCTGTGTGTTTTTATTCTCAGGGCATGAAGACTGTTTGGAGGTTTTACTTGAATTTAAAACATTAATCCATGAAGAGGGAAACTCGTTCACCCCCCTGCACTGTGCTCTGTGAGTATGCATCCATTACTCTCTCAAAATATATGACGTAGACATTGCACCCGCTGCCTGTCTTATTTTAGCACCAAGAGAAGATGGAAGTTATTTGATAATCAATGTTTTGTAATGAACACGCGTCAAAAAGAGTTTAGTCTGTGTACGCTGTTAATTACAGTTCTCAGGCAAGTTTATTTGTACAGCACAATTCAACACGAGGTTCAAAGGTGCTTCACAACGACATGAAAAAACATGAGAGACTTTAACCTGTTACGCACGGCCCCCCCGGTACCGGGCGGATAAACGCGTCATTTGCAGGAAACAACGTCTAAGGAATCTTAATATTTAATAAACTATGAATGTTTTATATCCATGTAACGGGAAGAAACTCAGCTTACTGATCTTTTTAATTTAAATTCTCCAAAAAAAACCCACAATGCTAACACTCAGCCTCTGAATTAGCCACGAGCGAAAAAATGTAACCTAACTCTGCACCTAAACTCACTCTAACTCCCTTATTACTTATCCTAGATGCACAGCCAACCACTCGTTTTGCATCAGCTGGAGACACTGAATCTAGTGGTGCCCACTTCAACACTCAGTGATAAACATTTGCGACGCTATAAAGGAAAGCGTACATCATAACATGTGGAGCTAGGTAGCTAGAAACGCTAACATGGCTTACCTTGGTCAAAACTGGTCTTCAATGGCATTAAAACGATAAAAAAACGATGCTGCAGTTAATCCATAGGTTAATCCAATGTGTCTGTGTCCTCTTTGAAATGATTTCTGATAATCCATAAGCAATAAAACTGCTTTTTAGTTTCCAGATGCCAGAGCTGGAGATCGGTCCACTCTGATACAAATGTACATGCGCGCAGCCCCCACCTTTTCTCTTCACAACGTGTGTGTGTGGGAGCCTCCCCCTTCGATTGTATTGGCTCTAACGGTCAGAAAGAGGTGTCAACCATCAAAATCGACCAAGGGGGGCCAGAGATATGGAGAAAAAAACATTTTCACCCAAATCACCTCAGAGGTGGTTTTAGCTAAACCTCTCTAAAAAGGTCAAATGTCACTTGTTTTGCATCAATCTTGATACAGGGTACTTATTATATGTTGTACTTTGGATTCCTAAAGCTTTTAGTCTACTAACCCATCATCCAAGGGTAGTTTTCACTATCTGTAAAAAAGAATTTTTGGACGGACACTATAATTTACAGTTTTTTACTATGTAAAATCTGAATTTTCTTTAAAATAAAAAACATCTATATTGATTCTGACACTTCTACATCCAACTCACAGATGTAACCTTCCTTTGATAAAATAAATTATTCATATAACCCTTTTAGAAGTTAAGTTGTGATTTGTTTTGGGCATGTCATTTTCGAGCCTGAAACATGAAAAACAGGCTTGGTGCTTAACAGGTTAACAGATAATGCAAGAGCAACATATAAAAATACATTCAAACATAGAAGTAAAAACTGTCTTTAGAAAGGAACTAAAATAACTTCTATAGAATATTACAGGTATAAAGAACAAGAATAGAAGTCACAGTGCCGTGTGAGATATGAACAGATGTTTGATAAAAGTCTTCAGGCTGGATTTGAAAGAAGAGAGAATGACATATGGAGTACACAAAGAGAGAAAGACAATCTGAAGGTCGCACCTAGTAAATATGAACATGTGGCCTCTCTACAGTTTGTATGTTCAGATTAAATCATCACGTTATAACCCCGGTGTGTTTCCTTCAGGATGAACGGACACAGCGGCGCTGCAGAGCGGCTGCTGGAGACAGCGGGGGTTCACATGATTAACACCAGAGATGCCAAAGGAAGGTGAGGCACGTTCACTCTGGGGTTCAGAGAGTCCTGATAACTGGACTCCATACGTCCAGCATGTAACCCCTCACACACATTCACTCTGGGGTTCAGAAAGTCCTGATAACTGGACTCCATACGTCCAGCGTGTAACCCCTCAAACACATTCACTCAGGGGTTCAGAAAGTCCTGATAACTGGACTCCATACGTCCAGCGTGTAACCCCTCAAACACATTCACTCTGGGGTTCAGAAAGTCCTGATAACTGGACTCCATACGTCCAGCATGTAACCCCTCACACACATTCATTAAGAGGCAGAGGCTGCTACACAAGGTGCCTCACATTCACACACTGTTGGGGTTCAGTGTCTTGCCCCAGGATACATCCTCCACAGTGCTGTGTGCCTTCAGCTGTGTTTCTGAGCACCCTCTCTCTTCCCCCCCCCCCCCCCTCCAGGACCCCCCTGCATGCGGCTGCGTTTGCTGAGGACGTGGCAGGCCTCCAGCTGGTGCTCCGTCACGGCTCAGAGATCAACGCTGTGGACGCCAGCGGCTGCTCCGCCCTGATGGTGGCGGCCGACAAGGGGCACAGCGGCACCGTGGGTGAGTCTCTGAAAGGCTGGATGGGTCCCCTCTTCTTCATGTCTCTTCTTCATCAACATGTGTCCCCTCTTCTTCATGTCTCTTCTACATCAACATGTGTCCCCTCTTCTTCATGTCTCTTCTACATCAACATGTGTCCCCTCTTCTTCATGTCTCTTCTTCATCAACATGTGTCCCCTCTTCTTCATGTCTCTTCTACATCAACATGTGTCCCCTCTTCTTCATGTCTCTTCTACATCAACATGTGTCCCCTCTTCTTCATGTTTCTTCTTCATCAACATGTGTCCCCTCTTCTTCATGTCTCTTCTACATCAGCATGTGTCCCCTCTTCTTCATGTCTCTTCTACATCAACATGTGTCCCCTCTTCTTCATGTCTCTTCTACATCAACATGTGTCCCCTCTTCTTCATGTCTCTTCTACATCAACATGTGTCCCCTCTTCTTCATGTCTCTTCTACATCAACATTTCACGCGCATGCTCCACGAGCACCCGCTAAATGTCTTTGTGTCCTCAGCGACCCTCCTCCATCGGGCCAAGGCTGACCTGACGCTGCTAGACGAGAACAAGAACACTGCCCTGCACCTGGCCTGCAGCAAGGTACACTCACACTCTCACACACACACACACACACACACACACACTCACACTCACACTCACACACACACACTCACACTCACACTCACACACTCACACACACTAACTACACATCATAATCCTCCCTGATAGACAGCAGCTCATGCCTCTCTCTCTCCCTGTGCTCCTCCTCAGGCTCATGAGATGTGCGCCCTGCTGATCCTCGGGGAGATCCACAGCCCGACGCTCATCAACGCCACCAACAGCACTCTGCAGATGTGAGGGCGCTTTTAAGATATCAATAAACAAATGGACGTTTTGGGGGATTGTCTATAAAGGCATCTTCAGGCGTTTAAAGCTCTGCAGGCCACGGCTTCATGTTTAAGTTATCTATAGGATTCATATGTTGCATATTTCCAGTTGAAGGTATTCTTCACATGTTGTTAATGTGTATTTCTCTCTCTCTCTCTCAGGCCTCTGCACCTGGCAGCTCGTAACGGTTTGGCCACGGTGGTGCAGGCGCTGCTGAGCAGAGGAGCCACGGTGCTCGCTGTGGATGAAGAAGGTGAGGACTCTTCATCCTGTATTTCAACTCGGACAAAAAACGTGGCACATTTGTGTTTTTGTATCTGTTTCTGAAGCTGCAGCGTGTTTCTCTTAGTGTTTTGGGCTGTAGTAACGTGTTAGCACCTGTCGGCAGAGATGGCAAAAGTACACACATCCTTTACTCAAGTAGAAGTACACACATCCTTTACTCAAGTAGAAGTACAGATACTTGTGTTTAAAAACACTCTTGTAAAAGTAGAAGTACTGACTAAACTTCTTTACTCAAGTCAAAGTAAAGAGGCTTTGAAATGTACTTCAGTAAAAAGTACCCATAACTAGCAGCTGTTTTAAAGAGTACCTGACCTCCCTTTATATTAATAGAACAATAATGTCATTGTTAGCTAATGAATGTTTCCATGCTGAACAACGGCAACATGACAACGTTTCCATTGGTCCCTCTTCTTTAGAGAAGACCAGGAAATGATGGATACACGGATCGTGTTCAAATCAATAGGCACGCAATGACTCTAAATAATAATGATCACGCCACCAAACACACATTCAAACTAAAGGAACCAGCCTGTTTGGAAAATGAGAGAAGTAGAAAGTACAGGTATTTGGGTTCAACATGTAAGAAGTAGAAAGTACAGGTATTTGGGTTCAACATGTAAGAAGTAGAAAGTACAGGTATTTGTGTTCAACATGTAAGAAGTAGAAAGTACAGGTATTTGTGTTCAACATGTAAGAAGTAGAAAGTACAGGTATTTGGGTTCAACATGTAAGAAGTAGAAAGTACAGGTATTTGTGTTCAACATGTAAGAAGTAGAAAGTACAGGTATTTGTGTTCAACATGTAAGAAGTAGAAAGTACAGGTATTTGTGTTCAACATGTAAGAAGTAGAAAGTACAGGTATTTGGGTTCAACATGTAAGAAGTAGAAAGTACAGGTATTTGAGTTCAAAATGTAAGAAGTCAAAGTAAAAAGTGGTCAGAAAAATAAGTATTGGAGTAAAGTACTGATACCAGAAACATGTACTTAAGTACAGTAAGGAAGTATTTGTACTCCACTCCTCGGACACCATAGAGTCTCTTCAGATGAAGTGAAAGCTGGATGTCATGTGACCTCTGCTGTGTTCCCCCCCTCAGGCCACACCCCCGCTCTGGCCTGCGCTCCCAACAAGGACGTGGCGGACTGCCTGGCTCTGATCCTCTCCACCATGAAGCCTTTCCCCCCGCGGGACCCCTCCTCCTCCTGCTCCTGCGGCCCCCCCAGCGTGACCCCCTCCCCGGGGCTGAACCTGCTGAAGCACTGCGGCATCACGGCCTCCTGCGCCCCGCTGCCCTCCAACGGCCTCCACAACGGCTTCGTGAAGGAGCTGGACGGCTGCCTGTCTGAGTGAGAGACCCCCCCCCCCCCCCCCCAAACACCCCTCAGCCAGCTGCTAACACCACCACCACCACCACCACCCTTTAACCCAGAGGACCAGGAACCACACGTCTGTTCTGTGTGTGTGTGTGTGTGTGTGTGTGTGTGTGTGTGTGTGTGGTCTTCTCTTGAGGTGCAGTCAAACCTAATATGCAATTGGATCCATTCCTCCATCCTGTCGTGTAAAGCGCTCTACAAGGTCACGCAGATCCAAATCAAACACACAATCTGGCCGTTTAAAGAATAATTTAACCCTTTAAAAACCATAATAATTATATAATCTTAAAGCATGGGATACACATCGCAGTATCAAACACCATATCATGTACCGCTGTGACCTTGTAGAGGAACCTTCCCTAAAGAATGATCACAGACTTCCTGTTTGATTATTTCTCCTTTTCCTCGATTTTTCTTTTTTTAAATATCCGTTAGATTTTTATGAAGGAAACACACAAGGGAAAAAAAAAAATCTAAATTCTCAAAGAGTGCTTGTGTACTACAGTACAAACCGGAACGTTCTGGAAAAAGGGTCACGATTTAATTCCATAGTGTACTTTAAAAAAACTAAAAACGGCATTTTAGGACAATTTGGTGAACGCTGCTGAATCCACACATGCCGACTTCCTGTTTTAAAGATGCTACGTGTTTGTTAAAGCTAAGTTTCTAAGCGTATAACTTATGACCAAAGTTGATCAACACTATTATGGCTATAAATTATTTATTTGAGATAAAGTGTACTGTACAGAGAAAGACAATAGATCTCGATATACCTCGTCAATCGTTTTAGCAGCTGCTCGTTCACCAGGGTCGAGGAGAAGCCGTAGGATAGAGACCGAGGCCTTTGACTTTAGAGGAAGGCTTTATAGTGATATCTGCCAACAACACCTCATCAAACATCGTTTAGCACAGAACGTGAACAAGCCATTTCAAGTTATTTCCCATCTCGTTTCAACAGTGTTTCAGAGGCGGCCTAAAAGAGGCGTCAGATTTCTGCGTGGAGCTTTGAAAACGAGTCTTAACCATGTCTTCGTGGTCAATTCAAAACAGATAGAGAGTAATGTCTGCTACGTTTTTATTGGGCAGTTTTCAAGCAATATTTTATTTCTTTTGGCCGTTTTCTTTTTGTTATGAATAGACAATCACTGTCACAAAGGGCTTTTTGTTTCCCTGGAATGTGTTTTTCTTTTTCTTATCTCATGAAATAATTAACCTAAAGACAGACCGAATGGCTCGGTGTGTGTGCCGGGCATTTTACTGTCGGTGTCAACGCGAAATGCACTGGATGGCCTTTTTCCGGCGTCTCATGAAATGCCTTTTTGACCCATGCCTTCCTAACACATCGTTTCAGTTGGAGCCCTGAGGATCTCACACACACACACACACACACACACACACCTTTTTACAGCGTTGTTGCACCCGTAGACAAAACTCAAAAAGCCGGCGTATTAATTGAATATGTCCGTGACAGGGAGCTGCGTTCCCTCCCAGAGGCGAGACAGGGCTGAACGGATGGGATCTTCGCTGAGGCCAAAGCCTGTTTTTAGATTTCAGGAATAGCAGAAATCCAAATATGTGCTTTTTTTCTCTTTTTTTTTCCCGTCGTCTCCTCATCCCATTTTCTTCTGGTACTAAAGATGATTGTATCGGACCACTAGAGCTGTCAGTTTGTGACTTTATATATATGCTATTTGTTTGTTTGAACCATGTGCTGGTGGTTAGATGACACTGATTCAGATCCGCCGGTAATGAAGAGGCACAATCTGCAAACATGAGGCGACTGGATGAGAGACGAGGACCTAGGGGACGAGGACCTAGGGGACGAGGACCTAGGGGAAGACCCCGCCATTTATTCAAAACTGAAGTCCATTTTTAGAGCAGAAACCGGCTTCGTTTACATGCACAAAATGATCTGTTTCATGCACTCATTACAGGACAAGACGATGGAGGAAGCTACGTTTGAATTATTATTATGAAAAGAACATGTTTAAAAAATGAAGAAAATAGTTGCTATGAATATAAATATACAAAAAACCAGTAAAAATGACTTTATTCTCAAAAAGCTAAATAAGTCTTTCCTCTCTTCTTCAAGCCCCGCCCTATGGACATACCAACCACCTTGTTAAAAAGGCTGCTGCTAATCTCCACGTGTGTTTCTCCTTCAGACCCAGACATTTCTCTTGGGCTTGCATTTCACAATTAAACCGGCACAAGAAGCGTCTAAACGTGTCCCCTAAACGCCCCTAAAAGCTGAGTGATATCCGCATCTCATTGGAAGATGCACCAAGGCTTGATTTTTTTAATATCCTAACATAATATATGCTCGATGTAATCCTCATCCGTGTGATATTTGTGTGCATGTAAACGCAGTCAGTGTCGTGGATTTGCTGCTGAAATGAAATGAAATGATCCCGAGCCTTTTTGGGGTCTCTTGAACAAAAATTAAAATTCAGTTATATTATTATAGTTATTATTATTAACGTTAGAGATAGAGTACATGTGTTTTTGTTTTGTAATCTCAGGATCTGTGCTGAAGCAGCAAGGCAGAATTTATTAACCAATCAGATCGCAGCATTTTTGTGATGGGATGTTCCATAATTTAATTTGTTTGTTTTTTGAAACCCAAATCCCACAGCACTTAATGATTAGATAGTGAAGCACGCACTTTAGTACATTCAGGTTCTAAGTGTGCAACATGGAGCATATGTCAGTGTGTACTTGTGTTTACATGCGTGTGTGTGTTGCTGCTGAATACAGGAAGGAAGGGTCGAGCGTTGAAATCGTACTCAAACGATGCATTATTTAAAAAACGATAGACAAAAAAAAACCACTGCCCTCTTTTCTTTTCTCTGAGTTATATTTCAGGGCCCAAAGTGACACGGTGACGTTACCCAGCCTACTGGTTCTAACAAGTCACTCAAACAAATCTCTCTGCAGCTACACACCCTTTGGTTGGTCCACAGTATTCTTAGACATGCTTTTTTTATTTGTGTGAGTGATTGTGCATGGAGCTAGATCATGGTTTTGTAAAGATTAGGGTTTTTAAAATGTCAGAACATACGAAGTTGTCAGATCAAGTATGACATGCTTCTTGAAGCAGACTTTGAACATACGGACGGGAAACATGCTCATGACCCTCTCTCTCAAAGCAGAGCATGTAACCGAAGCTGAAATCTGCATTTTTCTGATATTGTCCTGTATGCAAATTCACGATGAATCATATTTGATAATGTTCTGGTTGTTGCAGCTCTGGTAACGGATAAGCTAAACGGAGCATCTACCTGGTGAAGCAATGACAGGTCCAACTGTAGCAATAGAGAGAGTGTGTGTTACCGTGTGCAGCACAAACCTTGCACTGCCAGCCGTTCAGGCCACTTCAGAAGATCAGAGCATACATGCCAATGGAAGATTTCTAACAACGCTAAGATGTTCTGATAATAATAATAATGATGTTTGGTCACAAGTGAAGGCCTGTTTGCCAAAATGCATGGAGAGGTGGACGAGCGGAGAGCCTCTCTTTATTAAAGCAGCAAAGGGTTTATGCATTAGCCGTTTACAGTCCAATCTGAGCCATGTGACTGACGTGAATGTAGGGTCCGTTCAGTTGTCGCTCTCCATTTGTACGCGTAGATATGACGCAGGTAGCAACAAACTCTCTACATATGTATACGTAGTAGTCTTCCTGCATTGATATCCTTGTTTTGTGTTGGAGAATCGGCCTGCCGGTGTGTAATATTCGATATATTGTGTAGCGTACAAGGTGAACAAGTTAATATTCATCCATTCCATTGAGATTGCCTTACAGTAAAGAGGGACACACAGTAGATCACACACTCGTCGTTTTAATAGCCTATATTTGACAAAAATGCACCTAAGCTACACCCATTTAGTGCCATAGAAACCTTTATTTGCCTTTAGACATAAATCATACTCACATGGTCAGTAAATATTCAGAAGTAGGCAGGATTATCTGTGTTTGGAGCCGCATGTTTTTCCACCAGTTATTATTATTATATTAGTCAAAACTATATCAATATTTGCATGGGATATTAAAATGCAAGTGTTCTGTTGAAAATGGTAGAAGTCAGTTGTATAATTTGACTTTTTGTAATCCCTTTTGGTATTGGCAAAGCAATCCCTTGGTTGCGTGTGTGTGTGTGTGTGTGTGTGTGTGTGTGTAATGAGATATTGTGTGAGAAAAAAATAGTTGATGTCCAAAAAAAGCATGGTATAGAATTGATTTGCCTCAAACGGATGTCTCCGCACTGTGTGAGAGGGTTAGGGCCACATGAGAGAAACATTTTGAGATGTAAAAAAAAATTGAGTTCTGAAATTAAAGTCAAAATTCTGAATAAAGTTGAAATTCTGGAAAAGTCACATTTTTGAAAAAGTCACATTTTCGATGAAAAAATCCTGAAAAGTCAAATTTCTGAAAAAAAAAATTCTGGGAGAAGTTGAAATTCTGTGAAAAGAGTAAAAATAGAAATAGATGTTTTTAAAATTATGAAAAAAGTCAAGATTCTGAAAAAAACATGGAAAAGTCAAAAATCTCACGAAAGTCAAAAATTGTGGGAAAAGTGGAAATTCAGTGAAAAAGTTAAAATTCTAAAATAATGTTAAAGTTATGCGAAGTAAACATTCTGATGAGAGAGAGAAAAAAAAAATCTTAAAAGTCAAATTTCTGAGAAAATTCCCAATTCTGGGAAAACAGTAAAAATTCTGAAAAACTGTGAAAAGTAACATTTCTGGGAAAAAAGTTAAAAATTCACTTTTGCTCGCATGTCAACCATTTTCCTCATGTGTCCAAAACCCTCTTCCTTACGGTTCTTACTTGAAGTAAAACGGCAAATTTCAATTCAACTCTCTGATCCACTGTTGAGCCTTTTGCCTTAAAAAGCTGAAAAATAAAATGACCTGGCAGTAAGCGTGCGTCACCTGTGGAGCTCTGCTACTCGTTGGATTGTTAAATAATACAAATTAATGTTTGGGTGTGAGGAGGGTTCGACGGTTGCCGGTGGTGCAGAGATTGTTAAGGATTTCGCCATATTTGCCACTGAATGAATGCATTTCACTCGTTAAACAATCAAAGTGGGCTCCTCCGTCATCCGGGGCCTCGGGGGTTAAAGTGGTGTACCTCAAACACAGAAAAAATAGAGAAATAGTCTGGAATTGTTGCTTATTGTACAGCTATGCTAACAAAGAGTTATCTCTCGTGGTCCAGTGTGTAAACCCTGCGTAACCCAGCCGACATCAGAGAGCTGTTAGATTAGTTTCGTGGGGGCGTCGCGCCTCTTCTTATCGGACCTGCAGTTTTTTTTACCTCATCGGTGATGTTGCTGATTTCTCTCGTGACTTTTCAATATATGCATGTCGGAAATGTAAAAACAACGAACCCTTTTTTTCCCTTTTGTAGACCGTGTTTCTCTTCATTGCAGCCCACAGAGGTCACACAGGGTGAAGGTAGCTATAAAACTTTACCTCTGGAAGTCAGAAAGACACTGAATTCGACTGTATGGCTAACGCTAGTTCGACCGCCTTCCCTTCCCGTTCATCCCCCACCAGGAGTGTGACACACGGAGCACAGCGGTTGGCATGGTGCCTTTTTATTCGTTACTACCGAAAGGTACGGTCTTCCATTCGTATTTCCCAGAAGCCTTATAATGGGAACAGGAAATGACACTGACTACAGGCTCCCCCCCCTCTCTCTGATCTGAACTCGCGCATAGCTGATGCGACTTCTATGTTTTTGGTCACGTTATATAGGGCACATCTACACATTTGAATGGATGGGGGGGGTATAATACAAAAAGCACAAATCCAAAGAAGGCACCAAATTTAGGGTTTGATTGTCATAAAAAAACACACTAACTGTAGAGCGACCGGCGTCAGAGCTCCTTCTGATTGTTCCTCTTCACCCCAGATCAAAGTGTAGGCAGAGTGTGTGTCGTGACTGCAGAATGTACACTCCACGTGTTCCCTGTTGTTAGACTGACGGTAGTAGCGGTGTTGCTAACGGTGTGATCATACTAATAACACAAGTGACGTAACCTTCGTTGTCATTTTAAAGGCATGGATCTCTCTCTCAAGCTGACCTCGTTTTTGTTTTGTGGAAAAATAGACAAAAGATCAAAAAGTGCAATAACCTTTTGTTTATCGTTGCTTCCTTTGAGAAATATTTAATATTCTGTTTAACACCAAAAGTCCCTGTCTGTAGCACATGAAGGATCTGGTGTGTGTGTGTGTGTGTGTGTGTGTGTGTGTAGAGGCGGCGTTTGATCGTGTGTGTGTGTTTGCTATTTCATCTGAAAACTGTGATTATAATATCGGACTTTTAAGAAGCTGCCTGCTCAGAGGAAGGACTGTGCACAAGTTGACTGATAGATTTGAGTAGGTGCGTTTGTTTTTGGACGTTGATGGTATTGTAGTTCTGCTTATAGCCGGTTCATTTGCATGTGTAGACGTGAATATGCATCCTCCTCCTCCTCCTCCTTGAATGAAAAATATTTAGACCTGCTGTCAGTGACGTGTGCGGATACAAGGAAATATGAAATGCCTTATATTTGTTTTCAGTGTCGAGCATTAAGGGTTCTTACCGTGTCCCTCCCTTCTCAGCGTGTAGCCTAAAGCGTGTACAGATAAGACGCTCTGGATATTTCTATCTACTGTATAGCCTGTGTGTGTGTTTTCTGATGTGTTTCCTGGAGGTCCTGTGATTGTGGTTTTAGAGAAAAAAACATTCCCCTTTTTGAAAGTGCCGTTTGTTTTTCACCAGCAGAGGAGGGGAACATGTAAAACAAACACTTTCCGGTGTGTTACTGTCGCGCTGAATGACACGAGGGATTTGTGCAGGTGAAATAATAATAATAAGGCAGCAATCTTCTGACGCAGCACCTTACAGACTTCTTCTTGTTCTTCTGGGGAAATAGTCCCACGTTACTCTAACGCAGAGCCATATCAGACCATTTGTCCCTTAGGAGCCCCCTTTTGAATGTGCTATTAGGAATAGCCTACTGTAGGAAAGGATTCTGCATGTTCTGTGACTTGTGTTAGTAGCCGGGTCGTCCCTTTTCATGTGTTTTTATGTTTAGTCCGCTTCACTGTAGACGGTGCCACCTCATTGCAACTCACAAGCTATTAAACAATCCTCACAACTGGACTGAGAGCAGCCTTAAATCATCATCAAGATAATAAAGGGTTGCCTGTTTTTACTTTGAGTGGGGGGGTTTAAAAAAAAGGGGGGAGGGGCTGAATCGGGGCACGTGATGAGTTACAATCAGTTTCACAGTGCACCTTCACTGAAGAGAAAACATTTCAAATTGAGACTTGGCTCGTCCGACCTACATTCCAAAGTTTTAATTTCTCCGCCGATCAAGGATTCTTTTTTTGTGTTTTGTGAATGAAGTGCGACGTCGATGACAGGGTTCCCTACTTTTTAACGCTGATTACCTCATTTACAAATCTGCAAATATCCTGTGTGTAATAATGGAGTCGATGCCATCACCAGCACCTGTGATGACGACAGGACCAACGGAGTTAGGAACAACAGCGTAGAGTCGGCCAGGCGGGAGACTTCGGGTTCAGACGACAGTTATACAATTATTTTGTGAGGCCGCTAAGATGACTTCAATATCCACCGCTGCTGCACCAGTCTGCACCCAGAGGCGTAGAGAGGGGGGGGGGGTGCTTATTTGAGATTTTGTGGTCAAATATATGGCGGCGTATTAGGGTCTTTGGAGGTGAGATCATAATTATAGATTGGGGTGATATTAGAAATAAGCTCGGGTTAGAATTATGTACAATTTTGAAGATAACATTTGTCAAATACACGACAAAAAAAACGGATAAATTACTATTAAAAGGCAGACTCAGATTAAAGTTATTGTCACGAAAGATTTCTGTGATTAATATCGTATATGCACAATAAGATTTACGATAATCTCTGAGAATAATATCTACTTTTTACGATAAAAGTCTTAACTTTAAGATAAAAGTAGTAAAAATGTACGATAAAAAACGAATAAATTACTATTAAAAAAGGCAGATATTTTCTGACTCAGATTAAAGTTATTTTGGCACGAAAAACATCTGTGATTAATATCGTTAATGCACAACAAAATGTACGATAATCTCTGAGATTAAAATCTACTTTTTTAGATAAAAGTCTTACATTTTAAAAGAAAAAATTCGTTTTTCTGTTGGAAAAAACATGGATATTTTCTGATAGTCATAATATTTAGAGAAACAAAAACTCACAAATCTATGAGAAGAATATTAAATATACCCTTAGATAATAGTCATAAATACAAACTCATGAAAGTCTGAAAAATATTTTTAAAAGGTGTTTTTCTCGTAAATCTGTGAGTTTTATTTTGATGTTTTTATGACTTCAATCTCATCACCACCCGTCTCCCCTCTCTCCCTAATTTCAAGTATTATCATTCTTACCTCTAAAGCCACTAATACGCCATCGTACAGATCGATATCCCGCGTTATTGAACTAAAGGAAATCTCCTAACGGCAGACTGGACGGCGGCCGCTGGCGTTTCTCCACGTTAGCATCACTTGCTGTTTTTCAGTAGCATTTCTCCTACCTCCATGTTTTTTGAGTATCGTTTGTCTCTCCACCTAATAATACAAAAATATTCACAGTACGGGATAACAGATTTATCATAAGCAATGGTAGTTAAAAACATAAAGTGTGCTTGGTTGTGCTGTATGTGTATATGTCTTATTTGACGTTGATTCAAAAAAAAAATATTTATGAGAAGCATTTATACGACAAAATACCACTGGAATGTGAAGCCAGACAATGTTATGATGCAGATTATGATGATAGTCTATCCCCTTTAACATTCAGAGGAGTTTTATTTCACCATGCATTGGCTTTTATTTGTATTTCTTTGCTTTCCTCTTACTGCCCTGTGTAGTTTGCATTACTCCGACGTTTACAGCTTCACCGTCGCTCCCTCGCAGCTGTAAAAGAAACGAATAACTAAACTGGTGGATTTGTATTTCTGTACGATGCCTTTCAACACATCTGTCCACTCAAAACCAAATTTTACAGGCGTCCGTCTCACTGCCCCCTTCAGTGTAACAGTGAGGGGTGGGGGGAGGGGGGGGCAGGAGGTGAAAGGTTTGAGGTTTACGACCCCCCCCCCCCCCCCCCATTTAACCCCTTAATCCAGAACAACCCCCACCCTCTTCCTGAAACCTCAAGCCGTTCATGATTTTTATTTAATTTTCATTTCTTTCTTCTCGACAATGCAATCCTGAAAGCACTTTGCCTTGTTATTCCTTTGTGTGAACATGTGAATGATGATTTGTTACAACAATGTTAAATATGTAAAAGATCATTCACTGTTTTGGAAAAACCTGCATCTGTCTTTCTGACGTTAAAAGAAAAGGAAAAAAAAACAATTTAGTGACATTAAAAACCTGAATCTATTTTATAAAATGTTTGCTGCAGCCAATTGGTCTCGTCATTCAGTATTGTGGCTTAGGGTTGTTTGTGTTCAATAAAGTGCTATTGCTAAATATTCTGTCTGCTGTCTCTCTCCGTTATTCATACATACACTGATTCTGTTGATCATTACAGACGCCCTGTTCTTCTTTGGGGGTTCTCTCTGTCCGGTGCACGTGTCCCAACAGTCAATTCAATACGTAGATATTTAATAACGTTGATTTCCAAAACAACCAAAACCTTTCGTCTCCAAGGTTCCTTTTAAACATTTCTCTAACAGTGCATGACATTAGTAGTGTAATACTGAACGCTGTGTATTTTACTGCACTGTACATGAAGAAGCTCAACTAAGAAAATCTGAAAAACACTCAAATTTGAGTAAAAGTCAAAATTCTGAGAACATTTTTAATTCTGAAGTCAATTTCTGAAAAAAATCAAAACTTCTGAGAAAATTATCTGAAAAAAGTCAAAAATCTGGAAGAAATTCAAAAAACTGATTCTGTTGATCATTACAGACGCCCTGTTCTTCTTTTGGGGGTTCTCCCTGTCCGGTACATGTGTCCCAACAGTCAATTCAATACGTAGATATTTAATAACGTTGATTTCCAAAACAACCAAAACCTTTCGTCTCCAAGGTTCCTTTTAAACATTTCTCTAACAGTGCATGACATCAGTAGTGTAATACTGAACGCTGTGTATTTTACTGCACTGTACATGAAGAAGCTCAACTAGGGACAAAGATCAAAATAACATAAATACAATAGTCAAAATTCAGAAAAAGTCGAAAATATACAAAAACCTAAAAAAAAACACTCAAAATTACGAAAAAGTCAACATTCTGAGAAAAATGTTTTGATAAAAGTCTAAATTCTTAGAAAAAATTCTGAGATTTTTTTTTAATTCTGAAGTCAATTTCTGAAAAAAATCTAAATTCTTTAAAAATCGAAATTCTGAGAAAATAATCTGAAAAGATCTGAAGAAAGTCAAAAATCTGATTCTGTTGATCATTACAGACGCCCTGTTCTTTGGGGGTTCTCCCTGTCCGGTGCACGTGTCCCAACAGTCAATTCAATACGTAGATATTTAATAACGTTGATTTCCAAAACAACCAAAACCTTTCGTCTCCAAGGTTCCTTTTAAACATTTCTCTAACAGTGCATTATATAAGTCGTGTTTTTTTAGACTTCATCATTATTCATAGTCTACTAGAGCTGAAAGTTGAAAGCTGAGACCTAGACAAATAAAAGACAGCAATCTGAGAAAAAAAGTCAAACATCCGAAACGAAATTTGAAAGTCAAAATCTGAAAAAAGTCAAATTCTGAGAAAAAGGAAAAAGTCTGAGAAAAAAAAATATATTCTGAAAGACGGTACATTTTTTCCCAACAGTCAAATTAAATAAAGTAAATATTTACCAACATTCAAAACAACCAAAACCTTTCGTCTCCAATGTACGTTTTAACATTTCTCTAACTGTATTACATAAGTCGTGTTTCTTTTCTACTGAAAGCTGTACGGAATTCAGAAACATTTTCAAAATTCAGAGAAAAAGTCAAAATCATGAACACGTTTAAAAGTTTTGAAAGAAAAAGTCAAAACTGAGAAAAGTCAGAATTCTGATGAAAAATTCTGAAAAAGCAAATAATAATTTTGGACATTTTTGGGTGTCGGAAACGCACAGGTGTGAGAAGGTAGCTTGACGGTTGCCGGTGGTACAATGCACAGCTTACATTTGTATATAAATATATATTTTTTAACATGTGAAATAATGTTTGGGCCCACTGCTTTGTGTAGAGCAGGGGGGTCAAACTCTAATACACAGTGGGCCAAAATAAAAAAAATGGGTACTAGTCGAGGGCCGGACTGGTTCAATGTTTATTGCAAAACGTATTGAAATGAACTTATTGCACATATTAAACCTGGAACTAACAAAGCTTAAATGATTGCCTATAAAAACAACATTAAATAATCAGTTGCATTCATTTCTTATGGCTTTTCCAGAGTCATTTCTTATGATTACATTTCTCCACAGGCCAACAACAGCTTCAAAAAAACTATTTCCCTCAAAGAACAAACCAAACATGCCCTGTTGTCGTGAGAGAAAAAGTGCAGAAGGAAACATCCATGTAAACTCAGGCCCAATCCCAAACCACTCCCTCGACCCTACCCCTCCGTGGCGGAGTGAACTCCGTCTGTAGCCACACTCGCAGCTGAATGAGGCTCCCTCCTGTCAGATGGAGGGAGTAAATACAGCGGCAAGCTTTGGGACAAACTCCCCTCTCTCCGGCAGAAACAGGAAATGCCGTAACTGTATGTAACAACGGTTTCAAATCAGCATCTCTTAGACAAAAAAATGTAAATTAATAACTCAAATAAAACTCCAAACATCTTTCATTGTGTTACTTATTTGTAAAGCTCTTTTAGTTTTAAACCTGATGTTTATAAGCTTCTTAGTTTTTGCAACAGTCTGTAAATATACACAACTTTATAATAAAATGCACACATTTACCTTTATCTAGACTAAACACAGGTATGATCCTAAGTTAAAAAAATATGAGGTTATCATGAGGTTGTTAACATCGCAGTTTATCAGTGGATGTTTGCTGGAACTACTTGTAAACAGCGAGTTTCCTGACGGACACACACAGCGTGACTCCGGTCAGGTAGAGACCGGTCTCAAGTCAGCACCGATGCAGACTCGCTGTTTGAGGGCTTGATAGCCCACTCCCCCTCCACACCGCTCCACACTTGTTGGTTTGGAACAGCACTTAATGTGGCGGACCCTCCGCACGAACGCGCAAACGGAGGGGTAGTGTGTAGGGGTAGGGTGTAGGGGGCGGTTTGGGATTGGGCCTCAGTGTGCTGCTCTGTGATGCTAGTTCAAGCCAGATACTTGGCATCTCATCTTGGGTGCAAGGTCATCAATGTTTGGAGTCAGGCTCTGAGCTGAGGAGACCCTCAGGATGGAGTGAAGGTGTGCGTGCAATATACCGGAGGGCCAGATCTAATAGTAATTAGAAATTATCCTGCGGGCCGAAATTAAATCCACCAAGGGCCTGATTTGGCCCCCGGGCCTTGAGTTTGACACGTGTGGTGTAGAGAATCACCCTTAAAGTGGACCTATCATGCTATATATCCTGACGTCAGGACAGTGTTCAAATCTGGATCAGTTTTTATCAGATCCGTTGCAGCCCCTTTTTTAGAGATTTGGGTATGGAGGAAAATAGAGAGGGTTGTGTTTTCTGACACTTGGTGAGTTCCCTGGAACACCGGGGACACATATTCATGTAGAAAAGACGTACAAAAGTGCATTTTGCATGATAGGTCCCCTTTAAAAAAATATATGTATCAAACGCTTCACCCTGCACGTCCACTATCATAATATAGGACGAAACATAAAGGAGCGTTACATCCTGAGGTCACAGAAACCACCTGCAGTAGATGCTGCTGGTTTTAAATGAACCTGTGGCTGGAGCTGGATTCATCATCAGAACCACATGACGCTGCTGTCCCTGCAGTAAAGATGGTGACTCATGTTTTCAATGTGTTTCTGCTTCTGTTCAGCCATATTACAACTCTCTTTCTGCATGCAGGGAATCCCAACAGTGCCTGGCTGAAGAGGAGGCCACATTTCATACCTGATGTGTTGGACATTCATTAATAAATGAAGTTGGTGTTCTTTTTCCCTCTAATTTTTTTTGTATTTATCATTTTGAAATTAAACATTGTTCATGTCATAAATACTGACATTCCACTGGCTTATAAATACATATTTTAGCCCTTTTTTGGAGCAAAACAAATACAGTTATTTATTTATTTTTTACGGACCAATAAAATAAATGCTCCTACTCTTTTACGTCATGACGTCATCCCCCGCACGCCTCGGTGCCAACGTCACGACGGTCACGACACAGCGGTGTAGGATGTAGCTCAGGACGTGGCTAACGAGCTACTAGTTACAGTAGGACGTCAGGAAAATCAAAAACCTCTGGATTAGGATCTGTTTCACTACATGTTCAAGTAGGTATACCATTCCGTAATGATGTGTTCCCCTAAGGTGGCGGGTTGTGATGAGACATTTGTCGGTGTAGTTTCCTCAGAATGAGCTCTGTCTAGTTAGCTCGATGCTAACATCCAGAGGAAATCTAGTTAGCATGCGTTAGCTCGATGCTAACATCTATAGGAAACTAACGGGTATCTGGTTAACAGGAGTTAGCTCGATGCTAACATCCATAGGAAATCAACGGCTATCTGTTAGCATGTGTTAGCTTGATGGTAACATCCAGAGCAAACCCAGTTAGCAAGCGTGAATCAGACTCAGAATACCTTTGATTATTTCCACAGCGGCGAAATGTACTGTGTGGCATAGCAGGTTAAAAAAAGGCCAGCATATTAAAGTATTGCCCCCATACAAATACGTTTCTGGACATCTATGAAAATATGTATAGCACCGTACAGTGTTTATATTGCACATTGCACAATATTTCAACAGTTAGCTGCATTTAATTAATTACCAGGAAACTGCACTGACACCGGTCAAAGTCAAACAGAAGGGTGTTACATCGAGATGACTCCACTTTAGCTTATTATTAACATAAAGGCACTGAAATATAGTGAAATGTGTCACAGAATCACATCATAGACGTGGCTAACGTTAGCATTGGTGGTTAGCATGTGTGCATGCAGAGCGCGATAGATGTGCAGCCAGGTGTGTGTCTGAAACCAGGTCAGCTGTATATGAATATATATATTTATACACACAGTCTCCTGTCAGCAGGAGGTGGTGCACATGTTGGGGTGTTAGAGGGTTAACCACCTACTCTCTGGACTCGGTGTGTTCACTGTAAGGCTCAAACCCTTTTCATTCATCTAGTAATTACACTAAATGTACTTTTTAAATAGCATGTCCCTCTCGGTTTAGCTTCCTGTAAGGTCATCCCGGTAAAGTAAGTAAATACTGTAAATACTGCTATATTTTACTGTATTTTTTTAACATATTTTAATGCTATTATAGTTTTCTTAAAATAGTTTTCTATCTGTGTTTTTAATTTTACTTTTACTTTTATGTATCCACAACACCAAATCAAATTCCTCGTACGTGTCAACCTACCTGGTGATAAACCTGTTTCTGATTCAAAGGTGTGTTGTCATTTGATATTTATTCCTGTAACTGTCTGTGTTTCTTCTCTTGTGGGTTAATGAAGCATAACTCACCTCTTAGTGTCAGCCATGGGAGGATCTTTTTTAACAACCCCACCAGGCACAGCTGACCAAATGTCACGTAATAACAGGTGTACCAAACAGAAAGCGACTCAAAATGACCAGAACGAGAATTACACAGACTACAAAGACACCAAATAGCATCAAGGACATGCGTTACTGCAAATACAAACCATAAAGAAACATACATGCAAATAAAGAGACCAAATGACCACCAACAGCTCTGTGTCTTGGTGGGGCATGGCTGTCTCTGTCCTAAAATCTGAAATCCCGCACCGAGGAAACATTATTATTATGACTTATAATCTTTCCTAGCCATCAACTATCCAATACTGTTTTTTAAAACTAAATAATTAATGTGAATATACTTTCTTTTTTGCAGGAGGGGTGTGTGTCTCTTATCCCGGACAGATTGTTTCTGCCTGATGTCGCAGTTTTACCTCCAGAGCTGAATGGAAGCATTTCAGGCCTTTTGTGAGTGAGGTAGGCTCCGCGTGTTTGTGTATTCTATAAGTGTTGATATTTACAGTCACACACAGATGTCTAAATATCACCTGTGTGTTTCAGGAGGCTGTGTATCCCAGGTATGTACCATGGGGTACGACATTACGAGGTTCCAAGGGGAGGTGGATGAAGACCTGCTGTGCCCCATCTGCAGTGGAGTGCTGGAAGAACCAGTGCAGGTCAGTTTAAGATAAGAAGTACTTTATTCATCCCAATTTGGGACGTGTTTGCGTGAAAGCAGCGGTGTCCAAACCTTTTTTCACCGAGGGCCACATACAGAAAAACATACGAAGGGCTGGAGATATATTACCTCATAAGTTAAAGGGGACCTATCATGCAAAATGCACCTTTGTACGTCTTTTCTACATGAATATGTGTCCCCGGTGTTCCAGGGAACTCACCAAGTGTCAGAAAACACAACCTTCTCTATTTTCCTCCATACCCAAATCTCTAAAAAAGGGGCTGCAACGGATCTGATAAAAACTGATCTAGATTTGAACACTGTCAGGACGGTGGCGCTACGGCTATTGGGCCAACTCCACCAATCAGGAGGAGACAGCCACGGCCATTGCCGTTCGAAAGCGCTGGAGACGCTGTAGTACATATGCCAGGCCTGTAGGTGGTGCTGTTCTCACTGAATCTGCCCTTGCTAAAACAGAGCTAGAAATTGTCAAATTGAGCGAAATGAGGCATGGCTAAAATGCATGATCTGTTTGGTATTTTGAAAAGAAAAAAGTATAAATATGCCTTATATAGGTATGGTCCTACACTATATTATTCAAATATAGCATGATAGGTCCACTTTAAGTTGGAAAAAAGCTCTCCAGAGAGTTTCAGTTATTTTGTTGGCAGCTCCTTAAAACAGAAGCCTCAGATTGATTATCACAAGAGGAAATATGAAGGTTTATTTCAAGCTAGATATGGAAATAAGTCATTGGGCTTTTTTCTTATCAACTTAGAAAATGTTTCCAACTTGAATTGACTGAATGTATTTGAAAGGTGGGCTTATTAACACATGAATACTGTGTAATATATTTGAACATATATATTTAAGAAGTACAATATAAGACAAGCAGACGTTTCCTTTGTGGGCCATATTCCACGATACTTTCTTAATTAGCTGAGGGCCGATTCAAAATGTCCCGCGGGCCGTAGTTTGGACACCCCTGCGTTAGAGGGTGTGTGTGTGTGTGTGTGTGTGTGTGTGTGTGTGTGTGTGTGTGTGTGTGTGTGTGTGTGTGTGTGTGTGTGTGTGTGTGTGTGTGTGTGTGTGTGTGTGTGTTGTGTGTGTGTGTTGTGTGTGTGTGTGTGTGTGTGTGTGTGTGTGTGTGTGTGTGTGTGTGTGTGTGTGTGTGTGTGTGTGTGTGTGTGTGTGTGTGTGTGTGTGTGTGTGTGTGTGTGTGTGTGTGTGTGTGTGTGTGTGTGTGTGTGTGTGTGTGTGTGTGTGTGTGTGTGTGTGTGTGTGTGTGTGTGTGTGTGTGTGTGTGTGTGTGTGTGTGTGGTGTGTGTGTGTGTGTGTGTGTGTGTGTGTGTGTGTGTGTGTGTGTGTGTGTGTGTGTGTGTGTGTGTGTGTGTGTGTGTGTGTGTGTGTGTCACCTGCAGTAGAAGCAGACAGGAGCACCAGCTGTGGATCTACTTTACACACTCATACTATATGAAGGATATCTCCCCCTCTCTCCCTTCCTCTTCCATCTGAAGCTAAAGACACCAGAGATGCTTTTCTGCCTCGTCAGTTTCTTTGTGATATTTTTAGATTTCAGTGTTTTTTGAAGGGTTTGTTTGAATCCCTCTGAACCACAAAACAACTCAAACTCCTCAATTTATGGAGGCAGCGACCAGCAAGTTAAAAACATGTATTTTTACTGCTTTAATCTAAAAGAATATCAAACTTATTTTTCTGAAATTTAACGTATTTTTCCAATTAATACCAAGCCATTTCCCCCTAGTTCATTTCCAACAGAAAATAGTTCAAAACTGTATTATGTTTTCTTATCTTCTATCTTATTTTCTTGCAGATGTTTCCTTTTTAATCTCAGAGAATATTAGCATTTTTTTTATTGTTATTTAGTGACATATGTTTCTGGCAAATTAACGACGTGATGACGCCAGAATATATTCATTTTTTAAAACTTTTTAATTTTTTCTCTCTGAAATGATTTATTTTTCTATTTAATATTAACTATTTCTTTCCCTTGAATTTTTAAAGTACATTTCAAAGCCTCTTTACTTCTACTTGAGTAAAGAAGTTTAATCAGTACTTCTACTTTCACCAGAGTATTTTTAAACACCAGTATCTGTACTTCTACTTGAGTAAAGGATGTGTGTACTTCTACTTGAGTAAAGGATGTGTACTTCTACTTGAGTAAAGGATGTGTGTACTTCTACTTGAGTAAAGGATGTGTGTACTTCTACTTGAGTAAAGGATGTGTGTACTTCTACTTGAGTAAAGGATGTGTGTACTTCTACTTGAGTAAAGGATGTGTGTACTTCTACTTGAGTAAAGGATGTGTACTTCTACTTGAGTAAAGGATGTGTGTACTTCTACTTGAGTAAAGGATGTGTGTACTTCTACTTGAGTAAAGGATGTGTGTACTTCTACTTGAGTAAAGGATGTGTACTTCTACTTGAGTAAAGGATGTGTGTACTTCTACTTGAGTAAAGGATGTGTGTACTTCTACTTGAGTAAAGGATGTGTGTACTTCTACTTGAGTAAAGGATGTGTGTACTTCTACTTGAGTAAAGGATGTGTGTACTTCTACTTGAGTAAAGGATGTGTACTTCTACTTGAGTAAAGGATGTGTGTACTTCTACTTGAGTAAAGGATGCGTGTACTTCTACTTGAGTAAAGGATGTGTGTACTTCTACTTGAGTAAAGGATGGGTGTACTTCTTGAGTAAAGGATGTGTGTACTTCTACTTGAGTAAAGGATGTGTGTACTTCTACTTGAGTAAAGGATGTGTGTACTTCTACTTGAGTAAAGGATGTGTGTACTTCTACTTGAGTAAAGGATGTGTGTACTTCTACCCTCTCTGGTTCCTCATACAAACACACTAAAAAACAAAACTCTGGTCTCTCTGTTGTTCTAACGATGGTCTCTCTCTCTCTCCCCCCCCCCCCCAGGCTCCTCACTGCGAGCATGCCTTCTGTAACGCCTGTATAACCCAGTGGTTTGCGCAGCAGCAGATATGCCCCGTGGACCGCACCGTGGTGACGCTGGCTCACCTGCGGCCCGTGCCCCGCATCATGCGTAACATGCTGTCCAAACTGCAGATCAGCTGCGACAACGCGGGCTTCGGCTGCGGCGCCACGCTGCGTCTGGACCAGCTGACGTCACACCTCAAAGACTGCCAGCACAACCCCAAGAGACCCGTGAGCTGCGAGGAGGGCTGCGGGTGAGGAGAGATCACTGCACTCGCACTGAGGGGGCATGGTTAGGGGTTAAAGGTCACCTATTGTGGAAAATGCACTTTTTGTATGTCTCTCCTACATCAACATGTGTCCCCTCTTCTTCATGTCTCTTCTACATCAACATGTGTCCCCTCTTCTTCATGTCTCTTCTACATCAACATGTGTCCCCTCTTCTTCATGTCTCTTCTACATCAACATGTGTCCCCTCTTCTTCATGTCTCTTCTTCATCAACATGTGTCCCCTCTTCTTCATGTCTCTTCTACATCAACATGTGTCCCCTCTTCTTCATGTCTCTTCTACATCAACATGTGTCCCCTCTTCTTCATGTCTCTTCTACATCAACATGTGTCCCCTCTTCTTCATGTCTCTTCTACATCAACATGTGTCCCCTCTTCTTCATGTCTTCATGTCTCTTCTACATCAACATGTGTCCCCTCTTCTTCATGTCTCTTCTTCATCAACATGTGTCCCCTCTTCTTCATGTCTCTTCTACATCAACATGTGTCCCCTCTTCTTCATGTCTCTTCTTCATCAACATGTGTCCCCTCTTCTTCATGTCTCTTCTACATCAACATATGTCTTCTAGCACCATTGAGTTCTTTGTAACCAAATGTCTCTCAGAGGGGCGTGGGGAGGGGCTCCTTATTTTCATCTAAAGTAACAGACAGAGAATCAGCACTTTGGAAACAGGGCTGAAACAGAGGGGATTATGGGTAATGCTGCAATGATCTGTTTGGTGTTTCAGCCAATCAGAGACAGGTTCTGTATATATCTGAGACCTGTGATATATTGATGAGAAACAGTATAACAGGTGACCTTTACCAGAGATGGAGGTACCATATATCCACTGTGTCCCGGTAGAGATGATGGAAGTTCACTTCTTGAACAGTCTGATATTGAACCCTGTGTTCCTCCTCCTTCAGGCTGGAGATGCCCAAAGACGAGGTTCCTAACCACAACTGCATCAAACACTTACGGACGGTGGTCGGTCAGCAGCAGACCAGGATCTCAGACCTGGAGAAGACCGTGACGGAGCACAAACACCAGCTGGGGGAGCAGGTGAGCACACCAGGGAACATATATATATCTTTTACAATTTGCATTACATTAAAGATTTCATAACACCAAGAAATTAATTGGCAACAAAATTTGACTTAAAGGGGACCTATCATGCAAAATGCACTTTTGTACGTCTTTTCTACATGAATATGTGTCCCCGGTGTTCCAGGGAACTCACCAAGTGTCAGAAAACACAACCCTCTCTATTTTCCTCCATACCCAAATCTCTAAAAAAGGGGCTGCAACGGATCTGATAAAAACTGATCCAGATTTGAACACTGTCCTGACGTCAGGACGGTGGCGCTACGGCTATTGGGCCAACTCCACCAATCAGGAGGAGACAGCCACGGCCATTGCCGTTCGAAAGCGCTGGAGACGCTGTAGTACATATGCCAGGCCTGTAGATGGTGCTGTTCTCACAGAATCAGCCCTTGCTAATCCAGAGCTAAAAAATTTCAAATGTCAAAAAAAGTATAAATATGCCTTATATAGGTATGGTCCTACACTATATTATTCAAATATAGCATGATAGGTCCACTTTAATTGAGATAGTACCAATTAATATTTCATCCCCACTCATTTTTTCAAAACAAACAAACATACACTAACCAATATTATATTTGCACGTTTTTGAACAGCCAGTTTTGGATATCATCCCACGTTTTTTAAAATGTTATAACCATTCCAAACGGCCTGTATGAGGAAGTCACTCTCAGTAAAACATTTTAGACATTTATCGGAGGAGCTTGTCATTTTTTCATTGTTTTAAATGTACTATTTCTAGCTTGAGTTCCTTCAGTGAGATGCCTCCTCTCTGAACTCGATGCTGTTGTCTTTCAGAAGCGGGACATCCAGCTGCTGAAGGCGTACATGAGGGCGATCCGCAGCGCCAACCCCAACCTGCAGAACCTGGAGGAGAGCATAGAGTACAACGAGATCCTGGAGTGAGTCTTCGCACCGCGCCCTCTCTCTCTCTCTGGGGGTTATTCTCAAGTTCACTGTCAGGGAGCGGAGGGCGAGGCAGAGTGCCTTTTAGCGACAGGAAATAGTGTTTGACTTTTTTATCTTTGCAAGTTTTTTATTTGTAAATGTGTGACGTGCACATTTATGACTTTATAACCAAGAAAATATTAAAAATGTTCATCATAACGTTATCATTTATGAATTTTAATGTCTTACTGTGATAAAAATACACATTTAATCAATAATATTAATCATTTCTCCCCTTAAATTTCCCTGAAAATAGTTTTTCTTTGTAAATATCCAAGTTTCTTTCTTACAAATGTATCCCTCATCTTCCTCCTCGAAGATAATATCTAAGTTATTTCTTGTTAAAATATAGCATTAATCTGAATATGACATTTCTTACTATTGAATATGAACCCTAACCCTTTCCCCCTGAATTTACCCTTCAAATCTTCCTGAAAATAATGTTATAATTCTTTTTTTTGTTGCAAATATCCAATTTTTTTTCTTGCAAATGTCTCCCTAACTCCCTCGTCTTCCTCCCCCTCTTCCTCCCCCTCCCCCTCAGGTGGGTGAACTCCATGCAGCCGGCGCGGGTCACTCGTTGGGGGGGGATGATCTCCACTCCGGACGCCGTGCTGCAGGCGGTCATCAAGCGCTCTCTGATCGACAGCGGCTGCCCGCTCTCCATCGTCAACGACCTGATCGAGAACGCCCACGAGAGGAACTGGCCTCAGGGCCTCGCCACGCTGGAGACGCGGCAGATGAACCGGCGATACTACGAGAACTACGTGGCCAAGCGGATCCCCGGGAAGCAGGCGGTGGTGGTGATGGCCTGCGAGAACCAGCACATGGGCGAAGACATGATCCTGGAGCCCGGACTCGTCATGATCTTCGCTCACGGAGTCGAGGAGATCTTATAATGAAGACGACGAATTCCTGATCTGAATCCTGGCTGATTTTAACCCCTTCCTGTCGTGTTCGGTTCTCTCCTCGCTTCACTGTGGTGTTCCCGGGGGGGGGGGTTTTATCAGCTCTTACAGTAACACAGAAAACACTTATCATGACCAAATGGTATCCAACGCCCTTAGACAGTGCCGCACGACTGGTTTACAGTGCCGTGGACAGTCCCCATTAATCGACTGTCACAAAAAGCACTCACTGGAGCAGCTAGTTTCCAGATGTTGTCCCCGGCCAGATGATAAAAGACAGCTTTTTAAAATCACAACACGTCGACAGCATTAGTTATAAAGAAAACGGTGTGTTTGAACTGATCTTACATTAACACAGAAACCACTAATCGTGACCAAATGTTATTCAACTCCCTTCAGTGTCTCAGACGGCTGGTTACATGAGTAACTGCAGAGGATGCACACTGAAGATGTGTTCCAAAATGATCATGGTTGTTGATTTGTGGATGTATCTGCTGGAGGAACATAACAGTCTAGTTTCCAGATCAGAGAGTCTTATCGTGAACCCAGAGAGGTTGAGGACCCCGACGTTTTATCTTCTAAATGTACAGTACGGGTCCCCAGCACATAGAAGCTGCCGGATGCTAACTTGCATATGTTGGGCAATTTGTATAAGTTGTGTTAATTATAGCCTATGGTGGACAATAGTTAAAAAATGTCTTGGAGTAGTTTTGGGGGTTCTTGAGGATGTCGACTCAATTTCTAACATTTTTACGATCACGAATGGCAGTTTTAACCAGAAAGTAGACATATTAGTGCACTGATGTGATGAATTTGGGGTCGATTTTAAGTTTTAGGAGACTCGAAACTGCCATTTATGATCCTTAACATGTCAGACATTGATAAAGCATCCTCAATAACATCTCAAGTCACTCCAAAACTTGTCCAAATCATCCAAGACATGTTTTAGCCATTGTGTGAATATGGTAGTTAAGCAAATTGGCCGACATATGAGAAGCTGCTGGATGCTAACTTGCATATGTTGGGCAATTTGTATAAGTAGCACAAGTTGTGTTAATTATAACCTATGGTGGACAATAGTTAAAAAATGTCTTGGACAATTTTGGAAGGGTTTTATGGGTTCTTGAGGATGTCGACTCAATTTCTAACATTTTTAGGATCATTAAGGGCAGTTTTAACCAGAAAGTGGACATGTGTGCACCTGGTGGGCTGATGATCATGCATTTTGCTTCAATTTTGTAATTTTAGGGGACTCCTCAATAACCTCTCAAGTCACTCCAAAACTGTCCAAATCATCCGAGACATGTTTTAGCCATTGTGTGAATATGGTAGTTAAGCAAATTGGCCGACATATGCAGGTTAGCATCCGGCAGTTTCTATGTGCTGGGGACGTGTGCTATACATTTCCATCATAACGCTTTGTGGCACACACTGCTGGAGACTGGACTATAATTCAGGGTTACCCATTCATTCCTATGGGCGCATTTTTAAACCGGGAACATCGCAGGTGTAACAAAGACCGTGTTGATCGGCCGTGTTGGAATGCCTGCTGTGGAGGAAGTCACGCGGCCTCGAAGAGATCAAATGTTAAACACTATATTAACGATGGAAGTAGATCCGAACACGACGGGGGGGTTTAACGTAACGAGGCTCTGCTCAGCTTCATGCCTTTGCCTTAAAGAAGGACACACTATGAACCTGACTGAAAGAAAAGACTGGTCCCTGACGACAGGCGATGTTTACAAGGTTTGTATGTTGGTGCATTGTTTGATCTGATTGTCCTCATTATATAGTAATAAGCTTGAAAAAGAAACCCCAGTTGAATGCGCTCAGTTGTATAAATGCTTGTAAATACAAATACTATATTGAATTCTAAATGTCTCTCCTTCCTCTCTGTATAATGCGTTTCTGTGAGTCGGCGTTTTTTTCCCGCGGGACGATGACTCGAAGGTTTTTTTTTTCTCGCGCTCGCTTCAGTTTCCTGTGCATATCTCACCACAGGACGTCTGAGTTTAGATTGTCTGAACCTCCTGGTGCCATTTGTTTTATTTATTGTGTTGCCTTTTACACACACATGCTTGAAGATGTGATGTCTGGAAATCTGCCTTTCGGTGCATTTGAAGTTCAGGAGGACGAAGACATGAGGATCTGTGTTTTTCTTTGTGGCCTCAGATTGTAAATATGGTCTGTTCTTTGGGTCCAGTGGATGTTAAATTTGAAGTTTAACATTTCTGATGAGTTTGATTTGACAAATGGTAATCATGATTCACTTTATATCGACTCCTCACGTCACTACCGAGCGTCAGAGACTTGTCAAGTATTTGTAAAATCACTCTAAAGGCTTTCTGGGAGTTCAACTCTGCTGTGTTTAAAGTAAACAGGAAGTTTGTTTTGTGCCCTTTTTATTTTTTAATATTTCCCCCTCTTAATGTTTCTGTTTGTTTTGTGTCTGTTATGTACCGTGTTGTACAGACAAAGTAATAAAACATGTCAAACTTCACTCAAAAGGATGCGTTTTTCTTGCCTATAATAATTAAAATGCAGTTCCTTGTTCTCCCACCGCGTGTCATCAGAGATCTGCGGATGAAACCCCATGCGAGAGAACAAGAGAATATTCTTATCAAGTCTTGATAAAAGAAATGTCACGAATTTGCAAGACAAAAAACTCAATTTTACCAAAAATAACTAGATTTTTCCTCTTAGTTATGAAGTTGTATTGCTGTTCATTGTCTACAGTACAATCTGACTTTTTATGCTCATAAATGTCAGGGAATAATTTCGCCCTACATGTTTACCTCTCGCCCTCTGACACAGATGCCCTAACCCTTGAGCAGCCGCTATCTCCCTGAAGGAGGGGCTGCCCTAGCAAGTTGTTGTTGTTGCCAGTTTGTGACCGGGCAGCTCTCGGTCAGAGATAGTCATTGTTGTGGGACACCTGGAACACATCCTTCTCGGGGTGTAGATGACCTCGAGCCATAAGACAACAAATGTGATTCAGTGTCCTCAGCTGTTTAGTCTATCTATTGAAGAATGTTGATTATTACACTCTGAACTAGTTCAAACCTGGAGCTATAGGAGGGCTCTTCAGAATTGATTGTGGCATCTCAACCGTGTGGTCAGATCGTGGCTCTATGACATGTCTTGTGAATTCTCCGGCCGAAACTCCAAATAAACCGTCAGTGTTTGCCATCAAAGCTCCAGCTCTCCTCGTGTCTCTCTCTGAGTCCTGACTCCATCAAAGCTCCAGCTCTCCTCGTGTCTCTTTGAGTCCTGACTCCATCAAAGCTCCAGCTCTCCTCGTGTCTCTCTGAGTCCTGACTCCATCAGAGCTCCAGCTGTCCTCGTGTCTCTCTGAGTCCTGACTCCATCAAAGCTCCAGCTCTCCTCGTGTCTCTTTGAGTCCTGACTCCATCAAAGCTCCAGCTCTCCTCGTGTCTCTCTGAGTCCTGTCTCCATCAGAGCTCCAGCTCTCCTCGTGTCTCTCTGAGTCCTGACTCCATCAAAGCTCCAGCTCTCCTCATGTCTCTCTCTGAGTCCTGACTCCATCAAAGCTCCAGCTCTCCTCGTGTCTTTCTGAGTCCTGACTCCATCAGAGCTCCAGCTCTCCTCGTGTCTCTCTCTGAGTCCTGACTCCATCAGAGCTCCAGCTCTCCTCGTGTCTCTCTGAGTCCTGTCTCCATCAGAGCTCCAGCTCTCCTCGTGTCTCTCTGAGTCCTGACTCCATCAAAGCTCCAGCTCTCCTCGTGTCTCTCTGAGTCCTGACTCCATCAGAGCTCCAGCTCTCCTCGTGTCTCTTTGAGTCCTGACTCCATCAAAGCTCCAGCTCTCCTCGTGTCTCTCTCTGAGTCCTGACTCCATCAGAGCTCCAGCTCTCCTCGTGTCTCTCTGAGTCCTGACTCCATCAAAGCTCCAGCTCTCCTCGTGTCTCTCTGAGTCCTGACTCCATCAAAGCTCCAGCTCTCCTCGTGTCTCTCTGAGTCCTGACTCCATCAAAGCTCCAGCTCTCCTTGTGTCTCTCTGAGTCCTGACTCCATCAAAGCTCCAGCTCTCCTCGTGTCTCTCTGAGTCCTGACTCCATCAGAGCTCCAGCTCTCCTCGTGTCTCTCTGAGTCCTGACTCCATCAAAGCTCCAGCTCTCCTCGTGTCTCTCTGAGTCCTGACTCCATCAAAGCTCCAGCTCTCCTCGTGTCTCTCTGAGTCCTGACTCCATCAAAGCTCCAGCTCTCCTCGTGTCTCTCTGAGTCCTGACTCCATCAAAGCTCCAGCTCTCCTCGTGAGTCTCTGAGTCCTGACTCCATCAAAGCTCCAGCTCTCCTCGTGTCTCTTTGAGTCCTGACTCCATCAAAGCTCCAGCTCTCCTCGTGTCTCTCTGAGTCCTGACTCCAATTGCTTCAGAAGTTTCCCCCACAAAAAATGTTTGGAAAAAAAGAAAAAAACTTGGAAGAAATACATTTGTGTAAAAAGGGTTAGGGTTAATATTCTTTAGGAGTAAAACAAATTAATTTGTAAATTAACAAGGAAATATTTAGAATATTATACTCTGTTATAAAGTCATACATTTGTAGGAATTTTTTTTTTAATAAGTCACATTTACAAAATAATTTAACAGTAAAATACTTGATTTAACAGGAAAAAAAACACACATTTCAAGACAGAAATGTAAGTATAAGTCTCTGATATAAAACCATACATTTGCTCAATAAAGAACACTAATTTACAAGAATATAATATTTAACAACAAAAAATGTAAATAAAAAAAACCCTTATGAACACTATTGAATATTCTCTTAAAGTCTTTTTTAAATTACGTCATAGCGCTTCATAGCGGGATAAGTGGGGAGGAGAGGCATGGAGGTTAATTAATTTACCCACAATCCCCTGCTCCTCCTCATGTTTCCTGTCTGTTGATCACTGGGATCTGAAATCAATGACTGCTGCTCTGATGCACACATTGTAATTATTATGGGATGTGATGGAGGCTAGAATGTGTTTAAGGGATAAAATGACAAACACAGAATATAAAATGCGCAAGGCGAGTTTATTTATATAGCACATTTCAAAGTGGTGACAGAATGACCCTTATAGAGTACTGCATTATTTTATATGTGACGATAGGAGTTCCTCACGTTGCATTCATCATGTTTTTATGAAACGTCCCCTTTCCCAATGTTTGACTCAACACAGAGAAACTTAAAAATAAAAACAACAATTAACACATTTATTTTCTTTCGCCAGTAACAGAAAAAAAATATGAAAACATGAAAACGTCAATTATTCTGTAAGTAATTATAATGACAAGGTATCTTTAAATAATTTAAAGTAAAGTCATGTTAAGAGCCTTAATCATTATTTTGAGAATTAAGTAATTGTTATGATATATTAAGTCAATTGTTATGATATATTAAGTAATTATGTTATATTAAGTAATTGTTATGATGTATTAAGTCATTGTTATGATATATTAAGTAATTGTTATGTTATATTAAGTCATTGTTATGATATATTAAGTCATTGTTATGATATATTAAGTAATTGTTATGATATATTAAGTCATTGCATGGAGATACTAAGTCATAATTTCAGTAATTTTGTCTTTATTTTGAGATATGTAGTAATTGTCATGATATTTTGAGGGGTTATGACATTTTAAGTAATTTATTAAGATTTTAAGTCACTTTTATGGAGATACTAAGTCATCATTTAAGTGATTTTTATGATCATTTAAGTGATTATTTCGATATTTTAAGTCATTTATTAAGATTTTAAGTCACTTTATGGGCTATTAAGTAATTGCATAGAGATACTAAGTCATTTAAGTGACTTAGTCTTTATTTTGAGATATGTAGTAATTGTCATGATATTTTAAGTGGTTATTTAGAGATTTTAAGTCATTTATTAAGATATTAAGTAATTGTTATGTTAAGTCATTGTATAGAGATACTAAGTCATAATTTAAGAAATGTTGTCTTTATTTTGAGATTTGTAGTAATTGTCATGATATTTTAAGTGGTTATTTAGAGATTTTAAGTCATTTATTAAGATGTTAAGTCACTTTTATGGAGATAGTAAGTCACAATTTAAGCGACTTGGTCTTTATTTTGAGATATCAAGTAATTTTTATGATCATTTAAGTGCTTATATCGAGATGTTAAGTCATTTTTAAGAGATATTAAGTCACTTTTATGGGCTATTAAGTCATTGCATAGAGATACTAAGTCATAATTTCAGTAATTTTGTCTTTATTTTGAGATATGTAGTAATTGTCATGATATTTTGAGGGGTTATACGACATTTTAAGTCATTTATTAAGATTTCAAGTCACTTTTATGGAGATACTAAGTCATAATTTAAGTGACTTAGTCTTTATTTTGAGAGATAAAGTCATTTTTATGATCATTTAAGTGATTATTTAGATATTTTAAGTCATTTATTAAGATTTTAAGTCACTTTATGGGCTATTAAGTCATTGCATAGAGATACTAAGTCATAATTTAAGTGACTTAGTCTTTATTTTGAGATATGTAGTAATTGTCATGATATTTTAAGTGGTTATTTAGAGATTTTAAGTCATTTATTAAGATATTAAGTAATTGTTATGTTAAGTCATTGTATAGAGATACTAAGTCATAATTTAAGTAATTTTGTCTTTATTTTGAGATTCGTAGTAATTGTCATGATATTTTAAGTGGTTATTTAGAGATTTTAAGTCATTTATTAAGATTTTAAGTCACTTTTACAGAGATAGTAAGTCACAATTTAAGCGACTTGGTCTTTATTTTGAGATATCAAGTAATTTTTATGATCATTTAAGTGCTTATATCGAGATTTTAAGTCATTTTTAAGATATATTAAGTCACTTTTATGGGCTATTAAGTCATTGCATAGAGATACTAAGTCATAATTTAAGTAATTTAGTCTTTATTTTGAGATATGTAGTAATTGTCATGATATTTTAAGTGATTATTACGAGATTTTAAGTCCTTTATTACAATTTTAAGTCACTTTTAAGGGATATTAATTCATTGTATAGAGATAATAAGTCATTATTGTGTCATAATTCAGATAAAAAGTGTAATTTTCCTCCTCTCTTGTTGTCCTGTGTGATAATCCCATTTTGCACATATCGCCCCTCTCTGCGGGCTGAGAGGCGGATCGTGGCCGGCAGAGGGCCTCTGTGCTCGGCCTCCTCCCTCCTCACTCCCCGCTGATCCTCCTCCATTTAAAGTTAACGGACTCCGCGTTAGAGAGAGGCTTTCTGTCCGGCAGCAGAGGAGCTCACAGCAGGCGACTCAAGGTAAAAACACACACATTACGGGCTGTATCATGTGGGGAAAGTTCTGCGGATTGATCCCCGCTGCACAGGGAGGCTCGCGGATGAATTCCTCGGGTTGTTTTTCAGCTTTAGAGTTAAATCAGAGAGGCAGCATGAGGCTCGTGCAGGACCCAGAACTGCAGAGTGTCTCACAGCTCTTTTGAATGTTGGTGCTGTTCTCTTTTTAACACTCACTTCCCTGTGCAGTGCGGGGAAACCCTCTGTGGATATTTACAGAACCAGCTGTCAGACTGCTGGAGGTTCAGGGTGTGACTGTGAGCTCACTCTGCTTCCCATTTCATGTGTTTATGGTGCGAGTTGGACAGGATCTGATCTGAGTTTACTGCAGGATGTGGAGCACAGTTTACTGGGTAGATCCTGCACAGTGTGAGGCTGCTGCTGGAGCTCATTGTTAACCCAAAGCATGAGAAATGACTTTAGGAGTAACAGATTATTCATTCATTGCAGCCCTAGATTTCATGTTTTATAGTTGTCTGATTATTTCCTTCATGTCAGAAAATATTGAAAAATGTCCATCTCAGTTTCTCAAAGCCCAAGCTATCTTAAATGTCTTGTTCTGTCAGTCCAAACCCCACATTTTAACTTTATTTGGATCTAAGACAGAGAAAAGCAGGACATGTCCAGACTTGAGAGGCTGAGAAAAGCATTTAGAGACATTTTTGCATCACAAATGACAAAGCCGGAGAATTCAGGGCGTGAGAACACTTTGTTTATTCCCCGTTTAATGTGTTGTTAGTGGGACGGGATCTTATCTGGGGCTTTTTATCCCAGCTGCACACACAGGTTTGTGGGTAAATCGTGCTCGGTGTGGCGGTGCTGCTGGAGCTCATTGTTTACCCAAAGCTCCTCTTAACACTTCATTTCACTGCAAATGCGTGAATGTGGCTCCCAGCCCTCATGCTAAATAACTGTTCCAACTAACCCTGCAGGAAAGTCTCTTTGTGTTTTGTGGTTAACTTTGACTTCATCACCACTTTTTATGTTTATTTACAGTTTCTGTGCTGCAGGTTTTTATAAAAGCTGGTGGTTTTGTATCTGCTTTCTCGCCTGCATGGAGAGGCTCAGATAATCAATGCTTCAGCGGGTCAGGCTGCACAGTTAATGTTTACAGGAGAGCAGAATGTTATCAGGGCTATTACTCTGTAATGCTTCGTGTTTCTGTGTGACATGATCAGAGAACATGGCATGAAGACCTTTCTGACTTTTTACTTCTCTAAACACAGCAGTACATGGAAACTATTCCGGAACATTTCTCAGATTTGAGCTCATTGTTTTTGTTCAGAACTTTATTTATTTACATGCACGGTACACAAAGACACTATGTCTTTCATGGACATTAATAGGACCTAGATCTTCATTTGGATAAACCTGATCATTCAAATACTGCCCTTCCCTCAACATGAATGAGTTGACCGTACAATACCTCTATTGTTAGCTTGACAACAAAAATTCATATAGAAATTTGATGAATTGAATCAAATTAAATAAATAAATAAAATAGGGAGGTGCAGCTCTTGGATCGCCTGAAATAATGTTGACCATGTGTAATAAAAGCTGTAACATCGATGTGATTTTCTCCATCATATAAACATATTTCTAACCTATTATCTCTCCATTGCATTATGCTGGGGGGGGGGGGGCTTCAACAAGGAGGCTGTTATCACGTACGGTTTCCTTACGGGGACAATAAAGTATATCGTATCGTATCGTATTCTGTAAATCTGTTAGCAACAAAATCAATGATCCTATTTCTATCAGAAACATCACTGGGCGGTTTACCGAGTGAATACAGAGCTGGATCCAGAGCACTGGTTTGATCAACTTTGAACGTCCTTCCAGAAGTCCCAGAGTATATGAGGGAAGCGACCACAGCTCCTCCAGCACAGATCAGAATATATTTCTATATTGTGAAGTGATGGATGGAGTGGGACAATTACAAAAGAGGATTAGGGCCACATGTGAACAAATAAGTGAGATCAATAATTGTTTTTAGAAAGTAACAATTCTGAGATTTTCAGATAAGAAATACAACTTTTCTTTCTCAGTATTCTGACTTTAATCTCAGAACAAAACATTCATTTGTTTTGGTTCTGAGATTAAAGTCAGACCACTTTTCTCTTTAAAGTCAGAAAAGGTCTGATTTGCATAAAAAAAGCACAAATAAATAAAAAATCCTGTATTATTTTTCTAAATCAGACTCTAGTTTTCCCTTCTCTTACATTAAAGAAATCCTGTGCGGATATTCATCATGTTGCAGATAATAGGAAATCGCCAAAGCAACATATTGTGTTTTTCAATTGTGTAAAAGTGTGAAAGTGCTGTTGCCCTAACACCACTTAAATTCTCCTATAGTCACACACTCACATTTCACAGATAATTCACATCTCATATAACACACACCAGTCCTCTGCAGAGCCTGATGTTCTGAGACGAGAGCAGAGAGTCCTGTGTGATTGCTTTTCTGATAGAGGGCTTGAAAAATGTGACATTACATTTCATCTTGAGCTGTGTGTGTGTGTGTGTGTGTGTGTGTGTGTGTGGTGTGTTGTGTGTGTGTGTGTGTGTGTGTGTGTGTGTGTGTGTGTGTGTGTGTGTGTGTGTGTGTGTGTGTGTGTGTGTGTGTGTGTGTGTGTGTGTGTGTGTGTGTGTGTGTGTGTGTGTGTGTGTGGTGTGTGTGTGTGTGTGTGTGTGTGTGTGTGTGTGTGTGTGTGTGTGTGTGTGTGTGTGTGTGTGTGTGTGTGTGTGTGTGTGTGTGTGTGTGTCACAGGTCTAAGCAGGTCTCAGGTTGTCTCTCCTCCTCCACAGCGATTATATAACTCAGGTCTGAACTCCGCGATGATGCAGCGTGCCTCGCCCACATTTTCCAAGAAACGGTGATTCATGCCGTGGTGAAAGTCTTCTCTTGTTTTCCTCTGTGTGTCTCAGTCTGATTCACACTCTGTGTTTGTATAAGTCCTGCAGAGTTTGCATGTTTCGTAAGACATTAGCATACAGAGGAGAAGGGGAAGCCCATTGACTGTCTCAGTATTTCCTTTATCTATCTAAGACAGTTTAATCTAAACTGTAAGAACATATTGAAAAATGTTGAACTCAGTTTCTCAGAGTCCAAGTATGTGTTTCTATGTCTAAAGATAGTCACTTTTATTAAGATATAAAGCAGTAAATCTCCATAATTAAAAGGCCAAAACTGCATTTAATGACACTTTAGTTTATAGAAACGACTGGACTGTCAGAAAATAACCCAAAAATATTCACTTTATTTGGATTTCAAACAGAGAAAAGCAGCAAATCTCAAGATTTGAGAGAAATATTCTAATTTCTGGAGTCAGAATATATTGTCTTCTTCTCATACAATTAACTTAAGATGATAAATGATCAAAATAGTTGACTAGGGTTTACTAATCCTCATAAATGCAGTATCTTGAGGATTGTCTGACATGGATTACATAATGAATCTAGAAAATAAACTGCAGATTAAGATATTGAAATGATCACTAAAACCTATTCCATATCGTTCATCCAGCACCATGCACAACACCGTCTCTGTATGTCAGGCTGTTTTCTGCAGATGTACGTCACATTGCCCTGCTCACAGCTCAGCGTTATGAACTGAAGTGACGATGTTAAACTCTGAGGGGGAAGTGGTGGTTTCTGCAGCTCGAGATGCAGAAATGTTTTCCCCGCGGCTGTGCAAAGGCCTGTGTGCACGGTGACCTCGTCTGCAAACACACCATTTATAGCAAGGGAGTTTTCCCGTGGTCCTGCAGGGAGTCACAGCCCTGTGCCGAATGCTTTCAGAGGAGGTCAAAGCGGGGGAGGAGGTGAGGGACACTCTGCTACCCCCCCCCCCCCACCCCCCCTCCTCCCACCAGCTGATGGAGGGAAACTCTTTCCATAACAACACAAGCATGTCCGTCCTCCTCTGCAGAGCTGATGCAGTTTCAGGAGGAACACATCGTCAGACTCTGCTTTAAAACAAACACTGACGCGTGTTTTCCAACCACAGAGAGACTGTCGGTGCAAAACAGCAGATTTCTTTGAAACAAAACTGAGGGGAAGAGTACCCAATATGACCTCTATAATCATAGACATATGCTGAAAAGTCTTTTAACTTTGCTATATATATTAAAAAGGGAAATATTCTGCTCATTATCAGGCGTATATCAGTATGTAGTGTCTCTACTTTAAAGAGTCCTCTCCTGCTGATGTTCAGGTGTATATCAGTATGTAGTGTCTCTACTTTAAAGAGTCCTCTCCTGCTGGTGTTCAGGTGTATATCAGTATGTAGTGTCTCTACTTTAAAGAGTCCTCTCCTGCTGATGTTCAGGTGTATATCAGTATGTAGTGTCTCTACTTTAAAGAGTCCTCTCCTGCTGATGTTCAGGTGTATATCAGTATGTAGTGTCTCTACTTTAAAGAGTCCTCTCCTGCTGATGTTCAGGTGTATATCAGTATGTAGTGTCTCTACTTTAAAGAGTCCTCTCCTGCTGATGTTCAGGTGTATATCAGTATGTAGTGTCTCTACTTTAAAGAGTCCTCTCCTGCTGATGTTCAGGTGTATATCAGTATGTAGTGTCTCTACTTTAAAGAGTCCTCTCCTGCCGATGTTCAGGTGTATATCAGTATATAGTGTCTCTACTTTAAAGAGTCCTCTCCTGCTGATGTTCAGGTGTATATCAGTATGTAGTGTCTCTACTTTAAAGAGTCCTCTCCTGCTGATGTTCAGGTGTATATCAGTATGTAGTGTCTTTACTTTAATTGCTTATGTCTATTTAAATACTCTTATTCATAATATTTTATTTTTTATTTTTTATTTGAGCAACTTTGACAAAACCTATTTTCCCCCATAATAAAAAAAAACCTCTTTTAGAAAACGTTTTTGTTAAGAACAAGCAATAAAACAACTCTAGATGAGGTAAAATAATGCCAATCATAAGTACCCTTACATAAGTAAATAACTT